GTGTTCGCTTCAAGAAGGAAGTTGAATTTAGAAGAACGACTTTATTTGTATTTCAATCAAATAACAAAAAAAGTATGCGTCAAATAAAACGATATTTGATTAAAATAAACGAAAGAACAAAATTATCATTACCCAGATGTTTAATAATGAACTCCTTTAATTCAACTCTAAAATATTTGATAACTAATTTGCGTTTATTTTGGCGATATCATTATTTAGACACTACAATTATGACGTACGGTGAAAAATTACAAATAGCACCTTTTCTGAGTCAACTAAATCCATTTACTAAAAATTTCACCAATCAGAAAATATTCTCTGGCATTCAATGGTTTCCAAATAAAATGCGTAACTTAAATGGACACAAAATGATATTTTCTGTTCGCTATACAAATCATCATAACAATGTAGAACTAAAAGCAAGAATGGAAAACCTACTTACATCGACTTTTGAGCAAGCGATGAATTTCAAACATAGAAGCAGATACTCGATCAGATACAGAAATTTACTAGAGCTAAGTTTTTTTTCAAAATACAACTTTTATAACGGTAAAGATGATTTGAAAATATATTTCCCTTTTCGATTACAAAATATTGGTGCCACTAAAGCAGTAATTCCAAGAACGGAAAAATTTACAAATGTCTTTCATTTTTCACCAGAACTTTTGCATATGATCTTAGGGACAATTGGAATGATTCTTGTCATTCGAATCGTAGCATTCTTCATGAGATTCACGAGGATTACGTGGCAAACTTTTAACATTAGTCAAATAATAATGGGATTGCCAGCAAATAATGAACCCAAGAACTGGTTAGAAAGAATAGTTTTCGGTTTCTTATTGATTACATGTATTTTTTACACAGGATATGTTTATTCGGTAATTTTGGACATTAATTTACAATCGCAACCTGAAATTTCAACTTTGGAGGAACTAGCTAATTCTTCATTGACGCGAATGATGAGTTTAAATCTTTATATGAATATACATCAATTTCCTATTTATCATATTAGAAAACTTACTAAAAAAAAATTCCTATAATGTACCCTGAAGAAATTTTCGCAAAATATTGCTTACAATACTTGACTAAATATAATAATGTAAGCTGCATAATTCAAAATGCTGAATATTATATTAATAAATATTCATTTTTTAAAGGAAAAGAGTTAAATGTAAAAATATTACAACAAGATGTTAACTACTATGGTGACATGTGGGATGCAAGTGACAACTCACCTTACACCGATCGTTACAATGAAGTTATTCAAGAAATCACGGAATTTGGATTGTTTAAAGAAGAATATCAAACGTCTTATGTATCACCTCGAAAGATTTTGCCACCAGATGAAATTAAAAAGGACAAACTTTTTTTTATAGCTTCTTATATATTAGGAATTGGATATTCTCTTTCTATCATCACTTTTCTAGTTGAAATATTTACAGCGACGTTAAGTGTTAGAATGTATACTTTTTATACGTCGTTTAGATTAGGAAATTAGAAACTTATGTATTTTGTTACATCTCAGTAGAGTGACACATTTTTCTGATTTCGGTGTAAGTTAGTTTATTTTCTCTTAGAATAAAGTAGCTTTCTCCAATGCCTGCTCTGAAAGGAGTACTTTTCTTGTTAGAAAAACGTGGCGAAAGTAGAACTTTTCTCAACTCCTCTGAAGAGCGTGACGAAAGTAAAAATTGTCGTGGCGAAAGTAATTTCAAAGTGGAGAAAGTCACCCTCGCAAAATCGCTCATTTTCACCACTAGTTGTACAATGTACTATTCCGTGAAAAGTGCAATAAAAGTAAATTAACATAAATTCAATAATTTAATTGATTTAACTGTCGCATTTTGTAAAAACAATTTGTAAAACTTCATATAATTTCTTTTCTTATAGCCAATAGGTGCAAGTAGCTTTTCTTATAATTAGAACAAAGTTTTTTTCCATAACAAGTGCAAGTAACGATAAGTAACACTTAGAAAAGTTAATTACGATTGTATTAATCGCAAAAGAAATATTAAGTTGTAAAAGTTACATAAGTGTAACAATAACAAACTTTTAATTTCATACAATTGAAACAATATACTATTGAAAAGAAAACTAAAAAAAAAAGTATTCAGAATAGAGAAAAAGTATTGGTGGAGACGTTCGGTGAATGCGTTTTCGCGACAAAACCGTATTGGTGGGTTACGGTGAATACATTTTGCTTACCGTGAATACTTTTTTTTAAACTCTCGATTTAAAGATTCCTAAGCAAATACTTTTTTTTTTACTGGGTACTATGACTAAGCTGTAACTTTAATTTACGACTACTCTAAAATAAAAGTAAGAAACATTTATGTAACAATTTGTAACATTACTATTATATTAATCAATAAACAATAAAAAAGTAATAATTCATTGTTTTTAACTCAAAACCCGTAGTTTTGACAAGTGCGAACGGTTAAATATCAGGGTTTAATATTTTAATTTAATAAATAATAAAACCTCAGCCTCTTCCATAATAATTAATAATAATAATATCAACTATTGTTCAACATATTCTTTTAAATGTATATAAAATTTCAAAATAGGTGCTTTTAATGAACATTACATTAATAAGCAACTGACAAAATTTTACAATGATGTGAAAATATTTAGCTATTGAATGAATTAATTTGAACAATCACTTATTAGAATGTTCTTCACATCACTTACATACAAATACAAAATAATAAACGTTACCAAAAATAAACCCCAATAACGTCATTATTTGTTTTATGCTGTCAGTCATTTTCCGTCAAAGTAGGTGGTTGTCCAGAATTAAGTTTATTGGAATTTATTGGTCATTCCACGCCAAGTCAAAAATCATGTTGCTTTTGCATCTCAAATTTTTTTTAAAATTTCATATAAAATTTTCATTGTTCTAACCTTTTTCGCTACGGTTTTTTTTTACTGAGTGCAGGATTTTGAATGTTTAAAAAAGAGATTGATAACTTTTTGTTGCAATAATTGTAAAGAAGTCAGTGCCATCTCTTTAGTGTTGAACGTACCTTCTTCGCAAACACAATCATCGTCAGCTCTCTCTACAACGAATAATGATCTGTCCGACAAATATGCTTGGATGCTATCCGGGTGGTCGTGGAACAGGGGCAAGGTGCCACATTCGAAAAGTTCAAAAACCAAATGGCTAAAATATTGGAAACTTTCAAAACGGAGCAAGCCGATTTCAATTTTTTACATGTTTTTAAATAAATTTAAACCAAAGGTACTGGTATCTTGATATTTTTGTCGAACTTCGGTAATACAATATGACTATATGATTGTACAACAAAAATAAAAATATTTGACCAAAAATTTTATTTTGATTTAAAAGAAATTTTTCCTAATAACAATAAATGTGACACGCGACCCAAAGAAAGAGACCTTAGAAGCAAATAATTATAGATCTTCTTTCACCTTTAATATATTAAAGGTGAAAGAAGTTAACCATTTTTACGAATCAATCTCACAAATAAATCTCTTGAATAAGCTCTTGAGTTTTATATATGTATCGACAGCACAGCTGTCCTAATACAAAAACCTGCTTAATTTAAAAATTTTTTTTCCTGGGCTCGTATCCCACTATGCTACCGATTTTTCTGAGTTCTTTGATAATTTTGAAATTAATAATTAATTTCGAAAAAAATATTTTTCAAATTAAGCAGGTTTCTGTATTAGGACAGCTGTGCTGTCGATACATATATGAAACTCAACAGCTTATACAAGAGATTCATTTGTGAGATTGATTCGGAAAAATTGTTAACTTCTTTCACCTTTAATTATAGATTATGTTTGCAATTTTTAAATGAAAATACAAAAAAAGTATTAACTGTCAATATAAATCATTGCCCGGGACGCAATTTATTCTTTGAAATTTAATAACTCAAAAACAAAAAAAGGGCATTCTGAAAATTTACATGCCGATAGGAAAAAACCTCAGTTTTCGTTTGCAATAATTTATTCTCAAAAAAAAAAAACAGACCGATTTTTGGGAAATTGAAAATGAAATATTAATTATCAAAAATTAGGTTAAATTTTTAAAATATTAAAAAATAAAATACACCATTGGAAAGAGGACGAAAAAACCTTTCAGAAACATATTTTAAAAATTTTTTCCCATTACAAGTATGTTCAGAAAAAATTCACAAAGTAGCCGGTGTTGGCAAAATTGGTCAAATTGACCGCCTTCTACCCCCTCCAAATTTTCGAAAAATCAAAAATATTTTTTGGGGCACATTTCTACTTGATAGAACAACAAATTCCCTGAGTTTCAATATTTTTCAAGAAGTTGAAATTTCAACTTAGGACATTTCACGTAAAATGCTTCATATGTAGTCTGCAAAATTGCGCACATTTTTTTTCTTTTTCGACAAAATTTTTTGTGGCGCATTAATTTGCATTATAAAGGAAATTGTCCTGAATTGTAAAATAACCGCGAAGTATAAAGCGATAGTTATTCAATAAAAATTTTGTCAAATTTCTTTGAAATAAATTTAATATTTTAATGAATTTTATTTGTTTATTTTTAAAAATTATTTTGAGATATAATCGTATTTTTGGAGAATTCTAATTAAAAATTTGGAAAATAATTGAATTTAAAAAAAATTTTAAATAAACTTATTACCAGGATAGTTTCAGTGGTACTCAAGTACCACCTGGAAAGTTCAATTATTTAATCAAGAATATTCAAGTTGATGTTAGAATTATCTTTAATAATTATATTTAAAGAAAAACTGTTAGAAAAATTATATTTTTAAAAAAATGAAGAATTTTCATTAAATTTCAAAAAGCAAATTTTTTAAAGTATTAGTTTTGCTAGTTAAAATATAACTTTTTAAAGAAATTTTGTACCTAATTATAGTTCAATATAAATAACTTTTTACAAAATTCTTTTACTAAACATAATTTAATAAATTATCTAATTATTGTACTGTAAAGCTTCTTTATTCTTTTTATATCTTATTTTACAATGTTAAAAAGTCACAAATATTTTATTTCATTCCTCTGATATTTTATATTTATTTACTGATTATAAAGTGCATATCCTCGAGAAAGCATTATCATTCCTTTGTACATCCTCTCAGTATCAAATTCATTTTCCATTGGATCCAATAAAAAAATATTTCTCTTCGGTCTCGATAATTTATTCAAATTCTTTAAATCCTGAAAAACTTAGAATCAGTTTTAAAATAATAATAAAAATGGGACTTAATAAAAAGGTGAAAGTGTTTCTCCAATATTATCATAAATAATAATAAATTAATTTATTTATTCAGTCAATATAGTATATGGTCAATAATAATCTTAATAAATTTTCGTTTACGAAGTCAGTTCCCTCACTAATTTTATTAGTACTATTTTTTGATTCATTTATTTATAAATAAATAAATAATAGTTTAGAAGATTTAGATTAATTCGTGCATTAAAAATAATAGTAATTTAACAAAATATTATTATTGTCACTTTAATTATTGTACGAAAAAAAAAGTTTAGTTTTTTTATTCTCCAGAATAGAGAAACTCTTAAATGTCAATAATTAATATAAAGAAATAAATTAAAAATTAAATAATTGAATAAACAAATAATTAAATATAAATTATTCCTATATAAAAACTATGAAATTAAAATTTGAAAATTAAATTAAAATTAATTAATTAATTAAATTAATTTTTAATTAAAATTTGGATTTCTAATTTGGAATTTCATTACCGAGAGAAGTATAACGCTTGCAGCGGTTGGCGTAGTTGTTCGTCTAATTGCCATAATAATTAATGTGAGTAAATAGCCACCAAACGCCAAAAATGACAATGTCGTTATGGTGAGTTGAAAAATTTTTGAAATTTTCGTATCCTTCTCGCCTTTTTCATGCCACTCTTCATATCGTCTTATTGGTTGTTTATCACTGCGTCTAAGTGGAAGTGCAGCCGGAAGTGAAAGAGATGACATTCTACTGCTCGCCGTTATATTTTCATTCTCTTCATTATCTACAAATTAAGCAGAAAAAAAATAAGTAGAAATAAACAATTTCTATTAATTAAGAAAAATAAATAAACTACAAAACATTTTTTTAGAATATTTTATTAATTTTTTCCTTATTTAATAGGATAAACTTTTATTCAGTAAACAAGTTCTATAAATTGACAAAAAATCAAATCAGTAAAAAAATTTTTCATTAATTTCATCACGAATATTTAATTCCATTTTTTTAATTTATTTTTTGTAATAATTAATTTAATGTTATTAATAATAATAAAAATGGCGTCATTAAAAAAACATGTAACTTTTTTGTAAAATTTATTAACTACGATTTTGTTAATTATGTTTCATTGATTATTTTATGAATATATATTTCGTTAATTAATTAAATTTTATAATTAATTATTTTCCAATTAAATATTTTCTAAGTTTCTATAATTTATTATTTATTATATTTACATAAAAAAAATTGTATTTCAAATATGTTTTATTATTTAATTACATTTTATTCATTAAGGGGAGGGTTCTCCAATATTTTTAAGTATTTATCAAGAAAATAAATAAATTATTCCACAAAATTGTTTTTGTAGTAATTTTTCGAAAGGAATTCAATGGTTATAAAATAAAATTGATAAATAAATATTTTTACTCTTTTTGAATTTTTACTTTCCTGACAATTGATAAATTTTGAAATTCAAGCATAATTTTGTAAAAAAAAACGTTTTTGTATCCACAAAAAAATTGCCAAATGAAAAAATTGAATTTTAGTATCATTGAAAATGTTAAAAAATAGCATTTTTATTCCATTTTTTTTGGAAATTAATTTTTTCATATTTCTAACTAATTTTAAATCATAATCTTATAATTTTTTTATATTTTTTATTTTCTATATAAAAAAATTCAAATAAATTATTTGCTATTAAAAATTTTCTAATTGAATATTTTCTAATTATTGGAATTATTTTGTTTACCACAAAAAAAAAATGTATTTCAAATAATAATCAATAAAAATTTCCACTCACCATTTTTGTCAAAAAATATCGATTTCAATTGAATCAATCGATTCAATGGCAATTCACTGAGACTCTCAACTTCTTGTAAATAAAAATCCAAATCATCTTTATTCATTGCACACAAAAAATGAAAAACATTACTTAAAAATATAATGACAATAAATAATCGACAATTCAAAGACATATTATTTTTTTTTTCAATAAAATAAACGCAAGGAACTTTTGTTGAATTATTTGTTGAACAAAGTCAAATAAGCTTTACTTACATACAAAATTATGATACTAACTGTGTGTAGTTGAATAATCTTCTTTTTTTCTTTTTTTCTGCAAATTACGATGTCTTCCTTTTTGCATGGCTAAGAATGCGTGAAGAAGATTATTTTTTTTTCGAGAAAAATGGGTTGTCGTCAATTTCACACAGACGAGAAATAGTTTAGATGTGTTAAGGATAATCCAAATAAAATAATTGCTTTTTTCCTGTGGTCATTTTTCAGGAGGAAAATAGAAAAAAAAAGTGGTAAAATAATTTAGTTTGCCTTAGTACGTCTAACGACATTGTTCTCTAAAAAACTATGACTACAGTTAGTCTTTGTTTTCTGCTGGTGATTTCTGCATTGCCCGCATTTTGTGATAATGGTGGTAAATGTTACCATTGATAATAATAATAATTTATGATAACCGATTCACTTAAAAAAATGCTTTAAGAAAAAAAATTAATTTCCATTCTCGTATATTTTGTCATTATTTATAAACATTTATTTTTAGTGAATGTATTTATTTCTTATTTATTAATATTTGTTTATTATTTATATTTATTAATTGTTGAATTGAATTGAATTTTTACTACCATAATGCTACATAATTATATATTTACTTATTGTCTGTAAATTATTTATTTATTATTTGTATATATTTAGTTACTATTTATTTATTTATATTATTTATTGAATATTTATTTATTATTTATAAGTATTTTATTTGTTATTTGTTGATAAGTTTTATTTTTATGGATATTTATTTATTGTTTAATATTGTTTAATAAATAATTTTTTGATTGATAATAAATATTTATAATCCTTATTTATTTATTTATATATTTATTTTTTTATTTACTTTTAAGCGGTCTTACAGGAAAAAATAACCAAATATTAATAATAAAAATTATTATTAAACAATAATATTTCTTCTTTATATAGGAGTATTTCATAAAATAAAAGAGGGATTGCGTAGTGCAAAAAATTATTTAAAAACTGTAAAGGACATTGCGAATTTGGTGTCGGAAAGTTTGAATCGAAAAGAAAGTCAAAGGCGAGGTGACAATGGTGAATTTAATGAAGACAAAGAAAAGCCAAAAGAATCTTTAGGTCCTGCTCCTTTTGTCTCCGCATTTTTTCGCCTCTTAGGATTGGATTCGCAAAAAATAACAGCCATCACAGTTAACAGTGTTATTTTTCTCGCCCAAATGGTAAAAAATCGTAAAAAAAATAACAATAAAAATTTATTTTAATTAAAAGAAATCTAAATAATAAAGAACAAAATAATTATTCATAAAGTAAGGAAAAATATTCTATTAAGCCGCACTGATAATTAAACAATTAATTATTTTATTATTAATTATATAAAAGTAATTAAGAAGAAAAAATTTTTGTTTATTTGAAAGCGCAATTCGTAAAAATATTAAGTAATTAATATTAATTATTAATAACTCATTACAGATAGGATCATTATTTGATCTCACACCACGAATTGATGCTTCAAATTCTAATGAGAATAATGATTTACCTGATCCCTACAAATTAATTATGGAAAATGAGAGTCAAAAGGTAAAATAAATTTAAAAACTATGTTAATTTAATTCAAAATGTTTTGCAAACATTTTCATATTCAATTAAACATTTTTTTTTAAATATTCCAATTTTATTAAAAAAATACTTTCAAAACATATTACAATTAAAAATTTATAGAAATAGATTTTCAATTTAAAAAATATGTTAAAAATATTCACTTGATACAGAAAACAACTAAAAAAAATATTCTTATGTTATTAAAAATAAGTACTTTCAATATATTTTGCAATTAAAAAGTTATTGAAATGGTAAATAAAAAAAATCAACTAAAAAAATTTTTTAAACTACTTTCTTTGAAAAAAAAAATGGAAAATATTTCATTAAAATATTTATTTCATTAAAAAAAATGTTTTGAATTGCATGTACGTGATTTTATTGTTTCAGATTCAAAATTTAGTGCAAAGAGCAAAAGATTCAACTCTTCCAGAACAATTAATAGACGACATTGAAGGTTTAGACACATCTTGCGTCAGGCTATTAATTTGCAAAACAAGTCCAGTGATTCGCGCTGCACAACTTTCATTACAAAAAAAATATTCAAATCCATTTCATCAAATTACTTCTTGGCTACCGAGTTTGAAAGAATTTGAGGACAATTCCGAAATTTGTGAGCAAAATCACACTGACTGTTTACTATTTTCACAATAATGATTCTAATAATTAGGTATTGTAAAATATATTAATTATTATAAAATTATTATTAACTACATAAACATAGTTTTTAAAAATTCTTAATGAAAATATCTTCTTTATTCTTGAGGACTGAATAATTAATAATTATATTAATAATTTTAAATATAGGATAATAAATTATTAAAAACAAAAAGATAGTTTAGTAAAATAATTCAAATATTTGAAAACTTTTTTTCTAAATTATTAGAATTCATTAACCTTCGCGCTACCGGATGGCCACCCAGGGTGGCCAAGCAATAAATAATGTTGTAAATCTGCTCGATTTTTGCATCAATCGAATCGCGATTTTAAGTCACTGAACAAAATTTTATCTACTTTCGAAAAATAAAAAAAATAAATTTTTTTTACATTTCTTCTTGTTTATTAATAACAATTAAAAAACTATGTTCAACACTACTGAAAAACGTTCGGATGTTATTTTGTATATTGCAAAAAAATAAAAATGAAATCATGAAAGTTTCACAATAAAATTGTTTTATGTCAATAAATACAACATATTTTGATGTTACAATGAATTTTCTATTTGTTTAAACAAATTATTGTTGTTATTTACCAACTTTTTACAGAATGCACTTAGAAAGTTGCAGTTTTTTTCTAATTTTGCAATTTATTAATCTTATATGATCACAAATAAAGAGTAAAAATTGAATTATTATTTAAACAATTTTTAAACAAATTATTGTTGCTATTTACCAACTTTTTACAGAATACACCTAGAAAGTTGCAGTTTTTTCCTAATTTTGCAATTTACTAAACCTTATATGATTATAAATAAAAAAATCAAAATTGAATTGTTATTTAAACCATTTTTAAACAAATTAATAATTCGTTTATAAATTGCAATATGTAATAATATAAGGTTTAGTAAATTGCAAAATTAGGAAAAAACTGCAACTTTCTAGGTGTATTCTGTAAAAAGTTGGTAAATAGCAACAATAATTTGTTTTAAAATTGTTTAAATATTAATTCAATTTTTACTCTTTATTTGTGATCATATAAGATTTAGTAAATTGCAAAATTAGGAAAAAACTGCAACTTTCTAGGTGTATTCTGTAAAAAGTTGGTAAATAACAACAATAATTTGTTTAAATAATTTTTTACTAATATTTATGATTTGTTTCAATAAATATTTTCTTTAATTTATTGATTTAATTCTAAGTAACGTTAAAAAAAGAAAAGTTTTCAAAAATTTTCTAATCTCTTTGTTTATTTGAAAATTATATGTTTTTGCAATAACAAATTTTTTAAACAATTACAATATGCATAAAACCTTTATTAAAATACAGCAATTGTATTAACACATAGTTATTTACAAAAAGTTTGATGAATTTTAATCGTTTTTGGAATATAAAAGTAAAAAAGCGTTTGGCCACCCCGGGTGGCCATCCGGTAGCCCGCGTATACAAAAATCTTTGGTAGCGCGAAGGTTAATAAATATTAATGATGCAATTAATAATTTCAGTAGAACTTCGATTTAATGGGGTTTCTCGGAAATTTATCCATTAAATTGAGGTTTGACTGCACAGTAATATATATTTATTTTTCAACCATGATTTATTTATCAATATTCATTTATTATTTATTTATCAACATTCATTTATTATTTATGTACTATTTATTAATAAAATGTACTTTAAAAATATTTATTAATAAATAATTCAGTAAAATAATACCAACATAACTAAAATTCATTGATAAATATTAATGATATAGTCAATAATTTTCGTTTAATTGAAGGAAATTAATTAATTAATTTAATTTTCGTTTAACTTTGGTTTAGTAGTCTTTTGGAAATTAATCGACTATATCGGGGTTCCACTGTAAATTTCTATTTATTTATAATAAAACGTTATTCAAGAATATTGGTTGATAAATAATTCAATAAAATAATACAAAAATAATTAAAATTCATTGATTAATAATGTTCGGTTTTGTGATTTATTGAAAATTTTTCACTTAAATCGAGGTCACACTGTATTTTATTATTTAATTATTTATTATTAATTTCCTATTTATTTATTTATTGCAAAAACGTAGTTTAATAATATTAATTTATAAATAATTTGAGTAAATACTCCAAAAAAAATTAGAATTGATTAATAATTATTATAATGACTCAATTAATAATTACAGAGGAATTTTATAGTTCACTGATCTTTGGAAAAAATTCACCCATTAAATCAACTTTTCACTGGACATTATTATTTATTTACTGATTATTATTAATAAAATGAAATTTAAAATTACTTATTGATTATTAATTTGCCAAAATAATAATATTGAATAATAATAGGAAGAAACAATTTTTAAAATATTATTTGTTTAATTTAAAGTATATTTTATATAATTTTTTACTCATTTATCTTTTTAAACTCAATATATTATGTAAAAATTTTTTAAAGAAATAATTATGGTCATTCTATTTCAAACCGTTCCAACAAGGAGAGTATTTTTTAATTGAATTTTATTCTGTAAATAAATTATTAAATTTTCTTTTCACATAAGTTTCCATAATAAAATATTGAAGGAATTGTGACTTTTTCATTTCAAACAGGAATTTCTCTACGCAATTGAGATCAATTTTAAAGAAAAAAAAATATAAATAAAAAGTTTATTTAACTTTCCTTCGAATTAGTAGGTACATTTATGATAAATAATTAAATTTTTATATAATAAAATTCATTCAAAAATTGCTCTCCATGCGATCGTCAATTTTGTTGATGGAACGATTTAAAATCGAATGCCCCAATAAACTCTTTAAATTTGAATATAAAAATGTTTACCAATTTGAATTAGTGATTGACTTTTTGCTTTCGAATTAGTCAATTTTATTAATATTTTATAAATAAAGTAATAATTAATACTAAATTTTACTGATAAATAGTAATTTCTACTTTATTAATAAATTTTATTAATTATTAATATTTTACTAATAAAATAATTAATACTAAATTTTACTAAAAAGCAAAAAATCAATCACTAATCAAAATTAGTACTCTCTAAATTTAAATTAGTAAAAATGTTTATTAATTTTAATTAGTTACTGCGACTCTTTGCTTTTAAATTAGTAAAATATACTAATTCAAAAGCAGAAATTTAATCACTATAGGTAATTCCAATTAGTAAGCATTTCTACTAATTCAAATTTAATCTAATTTAATCTAATACAAATTTAAAGTGAATTAAATAAAATATAATATACAATCAAGAAAATTATTAAGAGAGATTATTAATAAAAATTTTTAAGACACATAATTTCATTCACTCACACTCTAAAACATTCTCAAAAATATGAATGCAACTAATTATGTTATACATATTTCATATTTATTAGAGATCAACAAATAAAAATTATCTATACATTTGTAAACATTCATTTACTTCAATAAATACATCTTGCCACAAATAAATAATTTATCTACAACTACTTATAATTTATATATATACTATATATACTATATATATACATACTATATGTATATATATAAACCTTTACTCTTAGGCAAATTTTCCAATATTTTCATATCTTTCTCGTGGAAGACAACTTACGATCTACACATCTTTGTTGATTTTTTTTTTCCTTTTGACAATGGATAAAAATTACTATTCTTCTATATCAGGATATTTATAAAAGGACTGGAGAGGGGAAAGGGGAAAGGTGCAAAAGTTTTGATGAGTGCAAAAATCACTGTTTCACACATATTATAATTTATTATCTTTCTGCAGTCAAAAACTTCTGTAAAATTTTGTTTCTTTTTTTTCCCTTTTCATAATGTCATCATCATTATAATAATAATGATCAATAATTAATTAATTAATTAATTAATTGTATATATTCTTTAAAAACTTATTGATAGTGTTTAGTGTATGAAATCAGTTTGTTTGTAAATTAATAATTGTATATTATATAAATTCAGTAGGAAATTCACTATTATAATTATAATTAAATTGATATATATATTTATATAAATTGTTTAAGTCTCATGTTTATATAGAAAAGGTTTTTTTTTTGGTTTTCTTAAGGCGTATACAGAAATTTTCGACTAGAAAATAAAGAAATAATAGTATTTCTTTTTTAAATCTTCGACTAATTGAGCTAAAAATATGAATTTAGCAAATAGTTTTTGGTACTAAAGGAAATTAATAATTTTCGTTTCTATTATTCACTCAGAGTGGGAATACAGAGGAGATATTCTACATCAAGATGTACTATTGAACGTATCATATAGTTAGGAAATCTAGTTTATATAAAATGATTAGTAATTAAATTTAAATATTTATAACAAGTGAGCTGAGTCTATAGATAATAGAAAAAAATACTGTTGAGTGTAACGATCATTATTACATAATCAGGACGGTACTACTGTGAATTCTATATTTTGAAATTTTAGAGAAAAAAATTAACTTTTTTTTAGTTGTGAAAAAAGTTATTTTTTAATAATTACTTTTATAAAATTTATTTTTCCCAATAACAAGTATTCATTAATGAATTACGAATATTTTCAAAAACATTTCAAAATAAAAAATTAACTTTCTATTAATTATTCTTTTTCTAATTAAAATTGATTTTTTCATTAACGAGTATTTTCAAAATGGAAAAATTTTATTTTGCAAATTAAATTGTCTGAGAGATTTTATTCTGAAACTTGAATTTGCAAAGTATTCAAAAAATTCTAAATTAATTAGTCTAAGAGATTTTAATCTAAAAACTGAATTTGCAAAATATTATATATATATTATATATATATATATATATATATATATATATATATATTATATTATATATATATATTATATTTATATTCGAACAGATTTCATTTTGAAAACTAAATTTACAAAAAATTTTTTTTACAAATTGATCCTTCTTGTTTTTTGTAACGAATCAAATTACATATTGAATATTTAATTTTCAATAATTAAATCTAATTTAATGAAAATTAAATATTTAAATAATTAATGAACAAATATAAATTTAAGTTCATAGCCGAAAAGCATTAATTAAAATTAAATAATTAATTAACTGAATACTTGAATTATTTAAAGAAAATTCGAGAGTCAATTTTGGATTCCCTATAGAAAGGCAAATTTTCAAAACTTTCATATTATATTTTTGTGCAAATTTTCTTACACATAAATTCCCTGAGTATCTCAAAGATAATTCTCTCGAATGTTAAATTATTATTTAAATTTTATTATTAAAATCGATCGAGTGATGGAATGGAAATTTCTTACATTAAATTATTCTTATTTATAAAATTAAAACTAGGAAATTATTATTAATTATTAATTATTATTATTTAATCAAGCTAATTAGTTTTTTTGAAAATTCTTTTAACAATTCTAATTGGTACGCTTCTGTTATAAATTAATTAAAAAATAATTTTTTTCTTTTCAAATATTTTACATTTTTAAAATAATATTTTTATATTATTTCTCTTTTTCTTATAATAATAATAATTATATACGTTTTTTTTATAAATTTTGTCATTTTCTTCTAAATATTTATCTTTTACTTAAGGTATAATATTCAGGTATTATTAATTAGTCATACATTATATATTTTTTCATTTTTAATCTTAAATTTATATTCCAAAAATTGGGATAACATTTTTATTATAAAAACGCACCAATTAGTAAAGTAAAAATCAAATAGAAATTTTTAAATAATTTCAATTCATTTGAATTTGTTTAGTTTAAATTTATTAAAAATTTTAAATATTTTTAATTAATTTATTTCAAATATGAAGACATCTAATAATTTCAATTAATTTAATTAAATTATTAAAAATTCTTAATTATTAATTGATTTATTAAAATTTTTTAATATTTTCAATTCATTTAATTGAATTAATGAAAATTCCATATAATTTCAATTTAATTAATTGCATTATATGAAATTTGAAGTAAATTCAATTTAATGAATTGAATTATTAAAAATTTGAAATATTTCCAATTAATTGAATTATTGAAATTCCAAATAATTTTAATTTAATTAATTCAATCATTAACAATTTGAAATATTTTTAATTTATTTATTAAAATTACTGAAAATTTCAAATAATTTTAATTCATTTAATTCAATTATCAAGGTTTCCAATAATTTCAGTTGAATTAACTGAATTATTAAAAATTTGAAATATTTTCGATGTATTTAATGAAATTATTAAAAATTTTATCCAATTTCAATTTGATGAATTAAATTATTAAACATTCTAAATAATTTCAATTTATGAATTCAATTATCAAAAAAATACAATTATATTACAATGATAATTAAATATATAATATTTAATTTACTATATTTACAGGTATTTAAATTATCATACAAATAATTGTAATGTGATCATTTTAAAAATTTTGAAAGTAAATAGAAACACTTTTTTTCTCTCTAAAATTTCAAAATATAGTTTCAAAAGGTCAATGACCAAAATGTTATTTAAATACAACTAGTATTATTGTAGATTTATACATTATTATAATTATTCGATCGATCCACTAAAAATTTTCTATTCAGGATCGAATTCTTAAAAGTACAATAATAATATAATATTCTAAGATGAATCAGGTATCTATTGGTTCTTATATAATTTGATAATAGTTTGGCATGTAACAAGGGGATGTCTTTATCCAAAGCGTACAGTTTAGTTTTGCTGTAATTTCTTAAGGGCATGAGTTATTTTTATCACGTCACCAATCAACTCACAAAATCAATTAATACAAAAATATTTATTTCTTAAATTTAATCACAATTATTATCATAACTTTAGTGATAATTAAATTTTTATCAAAAATTAGAAAGTATTTTTAATAATAATTTTTAATAATTCGCGATAATAACTTTTAATAATAATTACACTTTTCTCAAATATGAAAAAGTATTTTTAATAATAATTCGTTCTAATGATTTTTAGTATTTTAAATTCTTAAGATATTAATAATATAATTTCTAATTATTTTTTAAAATGATTTGAATTAAAATTCATTTCAATTAACATTATATTTTGTACTGTAAATAGAGAATCAATTTTCAAACTTAATTATTCCTTACACGGAATATTTTTAGCATTATAATAAATTCTATAGAAAATATTCTTATTAATTAATTTTTTTTAATTAATATTTCTGACAATAATCGCATCGAAATTTTCCAAACTCTTCTTTCTTTTTTTCTGTCAGTACGTTTTCTTAAAATTTCAAATTTTTTCCTCTGTAAAAATAAAAATCTTCAGAGTGCAAATCGGTGACGTCACAAAGTGTCACATGCCCTTAAATAAAATTTAACAATAGTCTAAACTCTCTAGGTACTTTTGAATTATTGACAACGCTACGAAGTTCGAAAACGAAAAAAAAATTCATTAAAATTATAATTTATTTACAAAAACTTAAATAAGAAATTGGTAACAAATGTATTGGCGCAGCAAAAATATTTATCACATTGGGAATGAGAGAAAGGGGGGGATAGGGGGAAACAAAAATAAAATAATATCGTACAATATCACTCTCGTTGCTAAAAATTAAATGATGAAATATATAGAAATATTTTTCGTCATTGCGCACATTTTTTTTCTTCTTCTTCTTCTTCTTTATATTTAAACAAAAAAATTAAATTTTCAAAAATATAGAAAAGACCGATTAACTTTAACGAACCACGACTCTATTTTACAATCATATTACAATATATTTACAAGAAAACATTTACAAAGGTGAATTATAAATATTAAATGATTCGAGATTCGCATCACTTTGTTTCATAATTTACCGTTAATTGTTTCATAAATCCAGAATTTTTCTTTCCTTTTAAAAAGAAGGAGAAAGACAATATAATATTAAAAATATATATTAATATTAAAAATATATAGTAGAAAATAACAAAAAGGAAAAATTTCTATCGTTTAAAATTCGTTTTTGTAATTTACTACAATTGTCTTTGTTACTTTCATTTTATTTAAATTACATTTTGATAGAATTTTTTTTCACTATTAGTTTTTAAATATAAATTTTTTACATTTAAAAATGTTTTTATATTTTCATTATATATTATTTTTTAAATATTTTTCTTATATATATTATTTCTTTATATTTTTTATATTTAAAATTTATTAAATTTTCCTTTATATAGGAAAAAATGAAAGAAAACAAAAATCTGGATTTATAATACAATTTTTGACTAGATTAACATTTTTTGTATACCTTTTCTCTTTTCGTTGTAAAAATAAATGCACTTCACAATAAAATATCGTAATAGAAGATTCGCTCGAACCCAATTCGAAAAAGCGGATTTAAGAAAATATAAGATCGTTATTTTTGAAAATTGAGAAGTTTCTCAATTTTTCTATACATTCCCTTTTTCTTCTTTTTTAAGGAAATTAGATCTATAATTTAGATCTCATTTAAAATTTCTTTTAATTACGATTATCATTAATTTAAAAAAAAAAAATATTATGAATTGTGTGCCTCGTTCTATTTGAGAAATTAAAAATCAAAACAGTTCATAAAGAACTGAAAAAAAATTTAAAACACTTATTTTATATTGGCTTGAAAAACTTTATATAGTTTCATCTCAAGAGAATTATTTTACCCGCATTAAAAAATTCGTCTTTGATTTTAAGCAGTTCTTGTCATTTCTTTCTTTTTACATTCTCATTTCGAAAATGAATGTGTTCTATAATAGAAAATAAAAATAAATATTTGTAAAAATAATAAATGAAAAAAAATAATAATTGGAAATAATAAATTCAGAAATGTTTCATTAACAATAATTAACATTAATATATTTGTTAAATTAAAATTGTTGGTAAAAGTTAACAAAATAAAGGAAACAAAAATATTTTTGCTAATTATAAATTTATAGCAAAACTTTAAGTAAATTAAAGAAGAAAAACTAAATTAGAAGTTAAATTCGAACTCAAATACTTCACAGAAAATAAATAAATTAAAATTAAAATACTACAAAAGTGAATAAATTCGAATTAATATACTTCAGTGGAAAAATTGAATTTAATATTTTTTAGTGTAAATAAATTGATTGAAATTAAAAAATTTAAAAACTTTAAAAAGAATAAATTCGAATTGTAATATACTTCACAGTGACTAAATTTAAATTACTAAATTTCAAAGTGAATAAATTCAAATTAATATACTTCACATTGACTAAATTTAAATTGCTAAATTTCAAAGTGAATAAATTGAAATTAATATACTTCACAATGACTAAAAACAAATTAATATACTTCACAGGTAATTAAATTTAAATTAATATACTTCCTCTGTTCGTAGTAAATAAATTCAAATTAATATTCTTGAATGTAGATTAAATTAAATTTTTATGCAAATAAATAAAAATTTTTATAATTCAACGAAAACAAATTAAATGAATATACAACTCATATAATATAAATTCAAAAAACTTCAACGTATAAATAAAATTAAAAAACAAATAAAAATCACTCATGAAAAAATCCAAAAACATAAATTGAAATTTATCTCAAAGAATTAAAATCCAAATTCAAATTTAAATCAAAATTCGAATTTAAATCAACATTCAGAGATATAAAAATACCTAAAATTCAAAAATACATTAAAAAAATATCTAAAACTGTAAAACAATTTCCAATAAAAAATAAAAATTGCGCAAAAGTATTTGATAAAATGGAAAAAAATAAATTTTGTTACCTTGGTAAAATTTTTGTTTTTCTTATATAAAACTCTTAGAGATTTTTTTTGTTTTTGAGAAATGATATTAATCACAGAAGGGGGGGAGTGATTCAAGATTTTTTTTTTGGTTTCTCTTTGTTTAGAGTGTGGCTTGTCCTGGACTGACCAGGTCAGAGGTTTCGACTCTCGCTTGTCGTAGCCAATCTCTAAGATTCCTTGTTCTCTCCATAAGATTAGATGTGGCTCGTTCCACTGTTCCAACGCTCGTTGTGAATCCACTATTCGGTCCATATTGGGCGATGATATTTTGTGTATTTGCCGTCGGTGGATGTCCACTTGACAGTTGCGACAGGATATTAGATTGGATGTTCGGTGTACCAAAAGCTGCTGATGTCAATGAATAAAAAAAAATATTTATGAATATTTTGGCGAAAAAAAAACCATTCTTTTAGTTTATTTCAATTAAAAATTTTAAATACAAGAAAATACCAGAAACTTAATTTTAATTTAGTTTTACTATAACTATGTTGTGTAATTAAATAGATTTATTATAATTACAGATACTGTATAATCAATAATCATAATATAATTAATAATTACAGGACAATTAATAATAATAATAATTTTAATAGTATAATTAATTTATGTAAAAAACATTTCAATTAAAGTCAGAAAAATTGCTTCTTGTAAAATTGACAGAAAAAATTAATTATATTTTTTTTGTTTACGAAAAAAAGATTAGAAAGTAAGAAAAATTTTAAGTATTCAAATCGAAATTAAAATTTTTCTACTGTATATATAAATTATCAGAACTTAAATAAATTATTAATTTAATGGTATGATAATTATTTATTTAATTAATATAAGTCAATTTAGAAAAGTTAATTTTAATATTTAATTTATATTATAAGATGAATATTTTTATTTATATTGTTTCAAAAAAATATTCAATAGAAAGTAGAAATATTTTAAAACAAAGTTTCAATTTCTCTACTACATAAATTACATAAATTTAAGTTAATTATTAATTTAATTACAGTATAATTAAATAGTATAAAAAGTATAATTAAATCAATTTAGTATATAATTATAGTATAAATTAATTGATTCAGTATAATTGTAGTATAAATAAATCGATTTAGTATAAATAAAGTATAACTAATTTAACTAAGAGTAAATTGTAAACAATTATTTATGTGAATTTAGAAAAGTATTTTCTGGTAAAAATTAAAGACAAATTAATTTTAATAACATTTAGATGTAAGAAAAAATTTAAAAAGTTCAGAAAAATTATTGAAAAGGAAAAAGTGTATTAAAGAGTAAAAAAAATTTGTAAACAGTAAAAAATGTACTAAAGAGTAAAGAAATTAATTAAAGAGTAAAAATAAATTAATGGCTTTAAAAAAGGATACACTAGAACCTCGATAAAATAGAAGCATTCGATAAATAAAACAGAACCGCTTTCTCCCTTTAATTTTATTTTAATAAATCGATAAATTATTTGAATAAAACATTAATAATTAACAAAAATAATAGAAATTTTTAAGAAACTTAAAAATATAGAAATTAATCAAAAACCCCTTAAATTCGAATTTTGGACACACTTTCAAATTTCCACATTGTCGAGGTTCGATTGTATACAATAAAAAAATAAATTACTTGATTCAAATAAATTTATAACTATTACAGGATTGATACAAAAAATTAATTTTGTTTTTCCCTGCTTTTTCCCTGGTAGACATAATTTTAACTTTTCCCTGACCCTAAAGAATATTCTTATCACTCTAAAAATTGTTTAAAAAAATTTAATATAATTCATTGCAAGAATTCAATTATTTCATAAATAATAAAATTTTTCATAGGATTTCAATTATTTTTAATACAATTTTATATAAATTCCTTGAAAAATGTAATTATTATCAAAAATTTTTTGCAAGAATTCAATTATTCTTCTAAATATTAAAATTAACTGAAATCTTAAGTAAATTCTTCGAAAAATGTAATTAATTTCAAAAATTTTATTATAATTCTTGGAAAGAATTCAATTTATCAATTATCTTTAATAATTTTTGCAAAAGTTTCTTGAGAATTTTCAAATCCACTTGTTTACAATTCAATTTCACGAAATTTCGATTATTCGGAAATTTATCAATTAAATATTTAGAAAATAAAAACTTGAAATAATTTTAAAAAAGTTGAATTAAATGTTTTCAAAAAAATTATTTTTACAGAATTGTTAGTTAAAAGTATAAAATAATAATAATTTATTGAATAAATGAATATTTCTCAAAATTTAATTCTCATAAAGAATTTTATCAACATAATTGAATTTTTTTGACGAATTTTAATAATATTTTCAAAAATAATTAAGAAATTTTTCGAAGAATTCAATTCAAATTGTATTTAAAATAATTGAAATTCTATGATGAGGTTTATTATTTATGAAAATAAATAAATTATTGCGATAAAATTTATAAAAAATTTGTAAATAGTTGAATTTCTGTGAAATTTTTATTATTTATGAAAATAATTTAATGTTTGCTTAGAATTTTATCAACATTTTTTTTTTAAATAATTGAATTCTTTTTGGAAAATTTTATTAAAATTGTGAATATTGAAAATCATTGTATTGAGGAATTTTAATAAAATTTTTGAAAATAATTGAATTTTGGAGAAGAATTGAATTTTAGAGAAGAATTTTAGTATTTTTAAAGAAAATTGAATTTTTAAAAATTTTTGAACATAATTGAATTTCTGCGAAGAATTTTATTACTTTTGAAAATAATTGAATTTCTTCAATTATTTGTAAATTCTCCAAATTTATTTTTTTCTAGTAGTACTTTAATAAAAAATCCCTGACTTTTCCCTGATTTTCCTGACCAATTCTTCTTTTCCTGACTTTTCCCTGAATTCCCTGATTTCCCTGACCTGTGGCAACCCTGTATTATCAAGTCAATATTTATTTGTATAAAATAATTTTTATTTAAGTTAAAATGTTAAGCTGATTTGATTTAAATAAAAATTATTTGATTCAAGGCAAATATTTATATTTATTAATAGACAAAAAATTATTTGAATCAAATAATTTTTTTTTGTTTCGTATGAAGAAATAAGTGAAAAAAGAAAAATTCTAAATGCAGGAAAACTGAGAGGACGGTATCGTGCAGTGCTTAATAAAAGCTTACGAAAAAAACAGTGCCATCTTTATTATACGCTAAATAATAATAATAGAAATCAACATAGTAAATGAAAATTATTGCTATACATATTATAATATTTAACAGAAAACGAAAGAAAATAATAACACAATTTTCAATTAGAAATGAAAGAGAAAAAATTTGCAAGAAAAATTTGTTTATAAAAGAATTTTTGATTGACCTTGCACATTACTCGGTTGAGACGTTAAATGTTGATATGGCAGCCATCCAAGATCCGAGTACATCAATGTTGGCGGTGGTGGAACATTGTTATCTTGTCGTTTATTCAGAACACCCCAAATTTCACGAATTTCTGAATTCAAATTTTCCAAGCTCGCTATTATTTCCGTTGATTCCTGATAGTGGTCTTGTTTATCTAAAAGGAGAGATAGAAAAAAATTAGAAGAACGAAAAGATTAATTAAAAAGAAATTATTTTTTTAAAACTTAAATTACTTTTTAATTAAATGACAAATTAATAATAACACAGGCACACAAAAAAAAGTGTCGTGGCCGAGACACTACAGTAGTATATTCCCATGTATTTTTTCACGCTGAATCCGAATTCGAAGTCAAAATTGACAGATTTGCTCAAAATTTTGAGATAAGCTCAAAGAATTGATAAAAAAAGCGATTTAAAGTAAAGAAATGGAAATTTTTTGCTATGACACTACATTACAGTATTTCCATATATTTTTACACTCGGATCTTGCATTTAAAGTCAGAATTGACAGATTTCTGACTGATTTGCTCAAAATTTTGAGATGAACTCAAAAAACTGATAAAAATGCCATTTAATATGAAAAAAGGAAATTTTTTGCTATGACACTACACTAGTGTATTCCTATGTATTTTTTCACTGTGATTCCGAAGTCAGAATTTTCAAAGTGGCTCAAAATTTTGGGTTTCATTAAAAGTGCTCAAAAACATGCATGTAAAAGGGAATTTTTGTCGAAACCTTATGTTATAATAATGAAGGGTTTTGGTATTCAGTACGAATCTAGAATTACCTCACTCAAACAACTCTGTCTTAGCTTGTGATATATTGGACGAAAATTTATTTCGCTTGTACCTGTAACCAGGGTTTGAGTTCTAAAAAATTTTTGTCAATCTGATAATTATAACTTCGAATTTGTATTCAGCGTATATAAAATTCATGAGAATACACTACCGAATACCAAAAAAATGAACTCTTTTGCATTAAATTAAATTTTGAGCATTTTTGGATTTAACTTAAAATTTTGAGCCAATTTAATAATTTTAACTTTGAATTTAGAAGCAGATGTAAAAACATGAGAATATACTAATGTAGTGTACTAGCAAGAAAAGTAGAGTTTCTTGACTTTAATTTTTGTAACTTAACAGATTTTCTTGTGTGTCTCAAAATTTTGAGACATTTGAATAATTCTGACTTCAAATGCGAGATTCGACTGTAACAAATATATGGAAATACTGTAATGTAGTGTCATAGCAAAAAATTTCCATTTCTTTATTTTAAATCGCTTTTTTTATCAATTCTTTGAGCTTATCTCAAAATTTTGAGCAAATCTGTCAATTCTGACTGCGAATTCGGATTCAGCGGGAATAAGTACATGGGAATATAGTAGTGTAGTGTCATAAAAAATTTTTTCATCTTAATTCGGTTTTTTGAGTCTTTTTTGAGTGGTTTTTTGAGTTTATCTCAAAATTTTGAGCAAATCTGTCAATTTTGACTTCGAATTCGGATTCAGCGTGAAAAAATACATAGGAATATACTTTTGCAGTGTCACAGAAGAAATTTTTTATTTTCGTCATTTTAATTCGGTTTTTTGAGTCGTTTTTTGAGTTTAGCTCAAAATTTTGAGCACATCTGTCAATTCTGACTACGAATCCGGATTCAGCGGGAAAAAATACATGAAAATACGCTATTGTTATGTCACAAAAAAATTTTTTAATTTTTTTGGTTCAAATTCGTGTTTTGAGTCGTTTTTTGAGTATAACTCAAAAAAAAGAACCAATTTGAGCATTCGGACTTCAGATTCGGATTCAGCGGCCAAAAATACATGGGAATATACTACTGTAGTGTCTCGGCCACGACACTTTTTTTTTTGTGTGCCTGTGTTATAATTGAAGTAAATTTAAACTATTAAATTATTATTATTATTTAAATAAAAGATTTTTAATTCTTTCTGTTTGGCCTAATGGCTTAATTATTATTTTTTATTAATAAATAAATAGTAATAAATTTATTAATATTAATTATTAATAATTATCAATATTATTAGTACCTATTAAATAAAAATTTAATTATTATTTTTATTATTTGATTATTTCTTCCATAACTCTTTGTCCATGTTTGTTAGCGATTTATCTACACGAATGAAACACTCAATGACCGAAAATAAATAAATAATTTAATTATTAAATTTTAATTAAATTAAAATTAAAAGAAAATTTAGATGTTTAAATACATAAGTCTGTTTATATATTCAGAAAAATATATTTGACCCAGAGCCAAATAGACTTTTTATTTAATTAAAATAAAAATTTTATTTATTTCGAATAAAATTTTTATTTGAAACAAATAAATAACCTAGTTGACTCTAATATAATTTATTTGAGTTAATGTAAATGTTTAGACTTTTATTTAACTCAAATAAATTATATTTGTTTAAAATTAAATTTTTTTTTGGGTACAGGTAAATAAATAAATTAATTTTATTAAATGTTTGTTTGAAATGAAGAAATAAAGAAATACGTTTTAAATAAATGGAAAAAAAGTTTCAAAAACCAATTCGAGTGTTTTGTTTTTCGCGAAGCCGAACGATAAATAGAAAAGCAAACTGACCCATGAATGTGTCTGTGCCAAGATCTGTTGAACTAAAACCACTACTGGCACTCGACATATCGCTCAACGTTTGCTCATCGCTTTTCACAACTGTGGCATCATTTTCGTTCTTCTTTGCATTGGCCACTCGATCCAAAGACTGCTCCAAGTGCCTAAGGTGAATAACTTTTTCCCCAAGAAGACTGCGAGTTCGATGTAAGCTCACTTCCATATCGGAAAGCTCTCTTTCTTCCTGTGAGCAAACAATAATCTCCAATCACCAACAATTTTGCGACTCATTGTATTTTCAAACACGATAATTCATTTTTGTATTTAAATAAACAATTTTTATTTATTCTAGCTTAATATTTTTATTATTTAATATTAATATTTAATAAAAGATGTTCATTAATATTTAATATTATTTAAATATTCTACAATAAATTAATAACCAATTTTATTATTTTGAGAAACAATTTTCTTACTTTACACTGGCCAACAAATTTTTATTCAATTAATTCAAATTATTTGAAAAATATTTACTTGGTTCAACTAATTTTTATTTGGATTCAGAAAATATATATTTGATTCAAATAACTTTAATTATTTGACTTGCATTGATTTAAACCAAATGAATATTAATTGGATCAAGTAAATAGTTAATTGAATCTAATAAATGAATTTATTTAACATTAATAATTTATTTGAAATTTATCATTTATTTATTTAACTCAAATATTTCAGTTCTTATTGATACAAATAAAAATTACTTGGCAAAATTAATTTATTTTATGAACTCAAGTAAGCTAAATTATTTCATACAAATAATGTACTATTTAATTCTAATATACTATTTTAGAAAAACAAATAAATATTTCAATTGAGTAAATAATTTATTGAAACGAAAATAATATGACATTTGAAACAACTCATTAATTTATTCCATTCAAATATTTGATTCTTTGACGTAAATAAGGATTATTCGACACAATAAAATTGTTATTGATTTAACTAAACTAAATTGTTTGATACAAATAATGTATTATTTAATGCTAATTTTATAAAAACGAAAAAAAATATTTTGATTAAGTAAATAATTTATTGAAACGAAAATAGAGAGTTATTTGAAAATATATTTTTTTATTTATTTATTTCGCTCAAACTTTTAGTTTCTGATATATAATTACAAATTATTTCATGGACTAACTTAATTTTTTTGACTTAATTTTTCGACCTGAGGAACAAATTATTTCTTTCGAGAAATTTAAATCTGAATTACTAAAGTAATTTTAAATAAAATAGCAATTTTAAAAATAATAGAATTTAAAAATTTTCTAATTTAAATTTTTGTTGAAATCACTAAAAAAATTCAATTTCAGAGAAATTACAAATAATTGCAGAAATTCAATTGTTTTCAAAAAAATAAAATAAAATTCAACTATGTTCAAAATTTGAAAAAAATTCTTGTAAAAATCCCAATTATCTTTATAAATAATAAAATTCTTCTCCAAAGTTCGATTATTTTCATAAATGACAAAAAAATTATTGTCCTAATTTCAATTATTTTCAAAAAATTTTCTAATTTCAATAATTTTCAATATCTACTATTTTAATAAAATTTCCCAAAAAGAATTCAATTATTATTTTTAAAAAATGTTAATATAATTGTATGCAAACATTTAATTATTTTCATAAATAATAAAAAATTCACAGGAATTCAATTATTTTCATAAAAAATAATTTAAAATTCTATAAAATAATAATTGAATTAAAGTGATGAAAATAATTTTGATGAAATTACAGTCCTGTTTCAAAAATAAGATTAAAAATAGGAATTGTGAAAATAAAAAAATTAATTCAAATATATGTTTATTTTTCTTTCATAATTTAAATCTTTCATAAAATTTTTTTATAGTAATTTTTTGAGAGGAAATCAATGGTCAGAAAATATTCTAACCCTTTTTGGATTTTTATTTTTCTTAAAAATTGGTAGATTTTAAAATCCATCCGTAATTTTTAAAAAAATATGTTTTTGTATCTATTTACAAAAAAAAAATTGCCGAATAAAAAAATTGGTTTTTACTATTTTTAATCATTTAAAAAAAACATGTGTTTAGGTAGAATATGCTAAAAAATACCATTGTTAGTCAATTTTTTATATGAAAAATCATTTGTTATTTTTCTAACTAATTTCAAATCAATTAAATAAAAAATATAAAAAATTATGAGTTGAAATTAGTTAGAAAAATACTACTGTGAATTTTTTATCATTTTTAACCTAAAAACAATGCTTCTTTCGAAAAAATACTCCAAAAATTGTAAAAATCAATTTTTTATTCAGTAATTGTTTTGTTTTTTTACTCAAAATTTTTTTAAAAATTACCATATAAAAATAATTTTATCGAAGATTTAAATAATTTTCTTGATATAATTAAAAATATAGTCGGAATCTTCCCTTAATTATTCAAGTCATTATTGAATTAAATAATTTGTCTAATTGATTTAAACCATTATTTATTAGTTCCAAATATTCCATTAATTTGAATTAATTAATTTATATTTAATGCAAATAATTGTTTATTTAATACAAGGAAATAAAATCCTTATTTCCAGTAAATATTTACTTAGTTCAAATATGTTAATGGATAGTGGACCAGGAAACCATTTAATTGAATCAAATAATTGTTATTTGAAGTAATTAAATTTTTTTCCAGTGAAGAAGAAGAGGAAGAATATTTGAAACGTTCTAAAATAGATTTCGATTGAAAGACAAAAGGACTGTTAAATTTTTGGAATGCACGTATTTACATGTAGGAGTTTAGAAAAATTTTTGGGTCAAGGGTCAAACTAATTAGATTCGTACCTTTACCAGCTGCTCCAAAGTGGCCCTCGCGCTTCGTTGCTTCCAAGCTTTCTGTCTGCCTTGAAAAGCACTCCTTTGTTGCCTCAGTGCCTCTCGAGCTCTTCTCACCGAATCCCGTTCCACGTGAATTCGATGTCTAAAGAATTCCAACTCCGATGACGCGGATACTGGAGCTAATTTTTATTTATTTTTCATTATCAATATGTCAAAATCACAGTCGATTTTAGTTCTAAGACTAACTAAATTACTTGAGTGAAAGAAAATAGTTGTCAAATGTTATAAAAGTATTTTATAATTTTGGAACACTTTATGGAGAACATTTAAATTAACAAAATCAAATTTTTTAAGTTAACGACTTTAAATTTTCCGGATTAAAATTTTTTTCAAATTTATTTCTAAAATAAATTAAATTTTCTAAATTAACAATTGACACCCAGAGGACAATTTTATTGACACTGAATATAATTTATTTGGCTTAAATAAAAGTAGGTATATTTGTCTCAGAATGAGAGAATTTATTATTTTTAACTAAATTCTTTATTTGGTTAAAGTAAAAAATTATATTCGACAGGAATAAAAATTTTATTTGGCCCAAATGACAAATTTGAACCAAATAAAATCATTTTTATAAAATAAATTTCGCTTTTATTTGAAACAAATTAAACGTTTGGTGGTTTCTGAATCAAATATACTTTTTTTCTTCTGAGTTTTTTTTTATTACAAAGGGAACGTTCATAAACTACGTAGCACGTCTAGGGGGAGGGGGGGGTCAAGCAATTGTCTACCATAAGAGGAAAAAATGGCGCTAATACATGTAATTGCGTCCACGCGGGGGGAGGGGGGGGGTTAAATTAAAATTTCCAAAAAATTTGTCTACGTAGTTTATGGACGTTCCCAAAGTAACTTAATTAAATTTTCGTTCCATACGGCAGAAATGTGTGTCAAAGTATTAATAAATATTATATGAAACTAAAAACAAGTTTTAAACAAGTTTAGAATAATTTTCTAATTTAAAAAAGATATTATTTTCAGGTTTTAATAAAATTTAAGCAACTAAATTCGTTAAAATTTCGTATTTGAAAACATTGTTCCTAAACTGAAAAATACTGTTTATAAAATGACAAATATTTTCATTCAATGTTTAATATTTGCAAAAATGTGGACATAGTACTTATTTCACAAGGATTTTCTAAACTGCAAAGTATCGGAAAGAATCAAAAAATCTACGATTTATTTTTTTAGGATCTGGATCATAGACAAAGGATCTACTTTCAGAAAAAAGTTTTATTTAAAGCAAATAAAATTTATCTGAGTCAAAAAATAGTATATATTTGTCATAGAAGACTACTAAATTTTTGTTTAAAATAAAAAAATTTCATTTATCACAAATAACATTTTTATTTGGACCAAATAAACTTTTTTGAACCAAATACAATTTTTATCTGAACCAAAAAATCTTTATTGAACCAAAAAATCTTTATTGAACCAAATAAAATTTATTAAAGCCAAATACAATTTATTTAAAATTTTAAACCAAATACAATTTATTTGAATGAAATAAAATTTTTATCTGAACTAAATAAACTTTTTTTAACCAAATACAATTTTTATTTCAACCAAAAAATCTTTATTGAACCAAATAAAGTTTATTTGAGCCAAATACAATTTATTTGAACCAAATACAATTTATTTGAACCAAATGCAATTTATTTGAACCAAATACAATTTATTTGAATGAAATAAAATTTTTATCTGAACTAAAAAACTTTTTTAAACAAATACAATTTTTACTTGAACCAAAAAATCTCTTTTGAACCAAATAAAATTTATTTGAGATAAATACAATTTATTTGAACCAAATACAATTTATTTGAATGAATTAAAATTTTTATCTGAACTAAATAAACTTTTTCTAACCAAATACAATTTTTATTTGAACCAATAAATCTTTATTGAACCAAATAAAATTTATTTGAGACAAATACAATTTATTTGAACCAAATACAATTTATTTGAACCAAATACAATTTATTTGAATGAATTATAATTTTTATCTGAACTAAATAAACTTTTTCTAACCAAATACAATTTTTATTTGAACCAAATAAAGTTTATTTGAGCCAAATACAATTTATTTGAACCAAATACAATTTATTTGAACCAAATGCAATTTATTTGAACCAAATACAATTTATTTGAATGAAATAAAATTTTTATCTAAACTAAAAACTTTTTTATACAAATACAATTTTTACTTGAACCAAAAAATCTCTTTTGAACCAATTAAAATTTATTTGAGATAAATACAATTTATTTGAATGAATTCAAATTTTTATCAGTACTAAATAAACTTTTTTCTAACCAAATACAATTTTTATTTGAACCAATAAATCTCTTTTGAACCAAATAACATTTATTTGAGCCAAATACAATTTATTTGAACCAAGTACAATTTAATTGAACCAAATACAATTTATTTGAACCAAATACAATTTATTTGAATCAAATAAAATTTATTTGAAGCAAATAACTAATTTAGTAGACTTTGAGTCAAATACCTCGATCTTTTTTCAGAATGAATTTTGCGAGAAAAATTTTCATTGAATTTTAGGCAACTAACTACAATGGTGTAATACCAAAACATTAAAAAATAGAAAAAAATGTCTGCACAATATACTTTTTATAATATTTTTGGGCTTTGGAAATACACTGGAACGCCGGTTTAGCGGAATTTTTAGGTTATGATGATATAGGATTTTCCTTGTTCTGCCTCGTTAAAGGTATTGTTAAGGTATTGTTCGATTTAACGGATATTTAACTTATTAAATATTTATTAAAAAAAGGGATTTTTCAAATTTAGTAAAAAAATTACTGAACTCTATGAGAAAGCAAAATATTTTACGAAATAGACTTGTTTTCTTTTTTTTATTAATAAATTTCTATTCAAAAATAGAAAGTAGTAGAAAAATTCCAACTTCAGATTCATTTCTAAAGCCCAAAAATACTATAAAAATTATAATGTGCCAACAATATTTTTTTCCAATTTCCCTCTGCCTATGTAATTAACCAATTCTTTCTAGAGCAAAAATTCCAAAACTACTTTGTACTAAAATTACCAATTTAAGCAACGTACAATAATTTTCAAATTGAATTTAAAATTAAAAATTACCAAGATCCTATATAAATATGTATATTGGAAAAAAATCCATGCAATATAATATTCTCTCGGATACTTTAGTTATTATATTTCTCAACTAACTTAATTTTGCAGTATCGCCTCTGGAAGACTCACATTTATCCTGGAAAGGATAACGCAAGGTATACGCCGTTTCATTGCTGGGCAATTGATCTCCAAGATCCTCCAATTTCTCCAATTGTTTACGAATATTCTCCACGGGATTTTCACTGTTCACATTATTATTTAATCGACTTGTACTTGTTGTTCGTTTGGTAAAATTCTTCTTCTTCTTCGAGAGGAAATTTGAATTTGTCTCACTTGCCGTTGTTGTGTCGTCCGATTCAAATTTCAATAATTGCTTTCCACCCAGAGTTGTTCCAATTGATCCTGGAAATCCTGTCATCAATTTCTGATCATCCGAGTCTTCGGTTGCACTGTGACCTTGACTTTGATTCTCTTGAGATTTCGTGAGAGTTAAGGAGTTCGAGCGTGTCTTCTTTAAAGGTGATCTATATAGGGTCAAGTTAAGGCCTATAGCCAGATATAAGGGTGAATTGTATGGCGGTGAAAATACATCTTCACGGTTCATTTTTTATTCTTTTATTTATTTTTTATTGCGGGAGAAGGGGGAGAAGTTGCATGAATATTTTTTTTTTAAATAGGATAAATTACAAGCGAAATTTAAAGGGTTAATTAAATTTTAAATTCAAGAAATTTTGTAAATGGAATTTTTACTTTGTACAAAATTATTTCTGTTTGGATTAAAATAGAATTAAAATTATCTAATTAAAATGAATGAATAGTTAAATTTTCTGGAGAATTTTTAATTTTATCTGAAATTTTCAATTAATCAATTTTTTCTAGAGAGTAAAAAATGAATAAAAATTTTGAACCAATCAAATTTTTAACCCTTCCGAAGGAGAAGATTCGCCTACAGTTTTAACTATTTCAAAAAAATAATTTAAATCTTCCATAAAATACCTATATTTATTTATGCATTTACAAAAAACATTTTCGAATGAAAAAAATTATTTTTACTATTTTTAAAGGAATTTTGAAGCAATTATTTGAAAAAAAAAACTTTGTTTTTAGGTTGAAAATGCTAAAAACTACCATTGTTATTTAATTTTTTATTTGGAAATTCATTTGTTTCTATTTCAAAATAATTTCAACTCATAATTTTTTTAAATAAAAAATATAAAATATAAAAAAATGGTGATAAAATTATGACCTGAAATTAGTTAGAAAAATAAATAAATGAATTTCCATACATAAAAATTGAATAACAATGGTATTTTTTTTAGCATTTTCAACCTAAAAACAATGTTTTTTTCCAAAAATTGCTTCTAAAATAGTAAAAATACTTTTTTTCATTTTGCAATTTTTTTGTAGATATAAATACATATTTTCTACAGAATTAAGAATGGATTTTAAAATCTCTCAATTTTTAAGAAAAATAAAAAATTCAATAAAAGCTTAAAATATTTTCTGACCAATTTAATTTCTGAGAATTGAATTCCTCACAAAAAATTACTATAAAAATAATTTTATGGAAAATTCAAATCATTTTCTTGGTATAGTTAAAAATGTAGGCGAACCCTCTCCTTAAAAACTTTAAATTTTCTTCTAAAATTTTAAATTATCAAAATTTTTATTTTATAGAATTCAAATTAATGAAAATTGAAATATTCTTTCGAAATTTTAAACTAACCGAATATTTTTTTTTGAGAGTTAAAATGAATAAAAAATTCCCTATAATAATTTTAATTAACATTTCTTTTCCGAAGAATTAAAATAAATGAAAAATTTTTTTTTCTTCTGGAATTTTTAACTCATCAAACAATTTTTTATTGAGTTCAAAAGAAAAAAATTTTTTTTTCAATTTTCAATTATCCAAATTTCTATTCTGAAGAATTAAAATTTAAATATAAATTTTTATTTTGTTTGCGAAATTTTCATAATCAATCAATTTAAAGAAATTTATGAATGGAATTTTTACTTTGTTTAAAAATTTTTTCTGTTGGATTAAAATTACATAATTAAAATGAACAAATATTTAAATTTTCTAGAGATTTAAAAATTAATCAAATGTCTTTATTGTAAAATTAAATTGAAGGTAAATTTTAAGTTTTTCTATAATTTTCAATTAACCAATTTTTCCTATAGAATTAAAAATAAATAGAAATTTTACATTCATAAAATTTTTAATCAAATTTAAAAAAATTTAAAGTTGCTTCTAAAATTTTTGATTATTGAAATGAATAAAAATTTCAGCTTTCTTCTAATCAAAATTTTACTAAATTCAAATCACTCAATTGACAAATTTAAAAAAAAAATTTTTTTTTCCTGTAGAATTAAAATAAATGCAAGTTTTTTTTCAATTAGAATTCTGCTACATTTGAAATTTTCAATTCAAAAAATTTTCTGATCTGTTAAAATGAACAAAACGAATAAAAATAAATGAAAATAAGAATCTTTTTCTCTTCTGTTTTATAAAATTCAACCTAGTAGGAATGGAATTGGAATTTGGAATTCGGCATACCAAATTTAAAAACATTAAAAATTCGAAAAAATTCAGATAATCTAAAAGAATGTTTCCTTAATTCAGAGAAGAAAATTTCATTTCTCTATTTTCTTTTCCATGTTTTCCATTTTCCTCAACAAAAAAAAAATCTCACATTTCGAGAGAGAGAAAATTTTCATCGAACAAAAATTCTTCTCCAAATTCAGCGAAACATATTTTTATTTGAATTTAAATTTCAAGTTAGATATTGACCGTGAAAACGTTGGAAATTTTACGAAAAATGGTGGTGCGAGAGAAAAAGTGCCGACAAACAATATTAAAAAATCTAACTTAAACCTTGTGAAATATTCTCTTAAAATAAATAAATTATTCTAAAAATAATTTATTCTTCAATTAAACAAAATGTGATTGAGAATAGAAAAAGAAAACATGCTTTAAACGAATAATACAATATTCTTTCTGGAAAGACGAAAAAATCCAAAAAGAAAAAAAGAGATCGTGTAAAAAATGGAAGAAAAAATATTGTAAAAAATTATGAAAAACTAGCAAAAAATGAGAGAAAAGAAAGAAAACAGAGAAAAACTCACTTTTGATCAGAGGACTCGGGTTTGTCAGTTCTTGCCCTCGCTGAAGTTGACTTATCAGTCTCGGAAGCTGTCGCATTTCCTTCCTTGCGTTTAGTTCTCCTTTCAACGGCAAGACGAACTTCTTTTTTCAATTTAAGATACTTTTCTTTAAGAGTATTATATTTATCTTCAATTAGCCTCTTCTCACAGCGCAATTTTTCATAATCAACTATTTCCTGCGGCGAAGATTTTCGATCACTTTGTCTCTTCACTTCATTTTCTATGTCTCTCGAAAAATCCGCACGAATTTCCTCCAACCTCTGCTTATACAATTTCCGCGCGAGTTCTTCCTAAACAAAAATTTACGCGTCTTATTTCTTATATTGAGGAGTAAAATTCAAATAAATTTCTATCTAATAAAAATATATATGTATATTAATAAATAATAACTATTATAGAAAAAATAATTAGAAATTAATTCAAATTTTAAAAATGTTAAAAGCAAAAAAATAATTATTGATAATAAACAAAAATTTATAAATTAGAATAAAAAGAAATTTCTTTCTCTTTTTATTATAATTTATTAATTTAGAGTTGACATGAAAGTTTAATTTTGTTTTTCGAGACGCATGCTTATTCCCGAAATATTTTTTGACCAAATAGGTATTTGATATAAAACTACTTAACTTAAAATTCACATAATATGCACATTATTTGACTTAAATTTCATTGTACACAAAAACCATTTAACATAAATATCATTTGTCATAGAATTCATTAAACAGAAATATTATGTTACATAAAACTCAGATAACTTAATTCCCATTTGACATAAAAATTATGTAACATAAATTTCTATTGACATAAAAATCATTTAACATAAATTTCTTTTGACATAAAATTCATTTAACGTAAATTTTTTTTATAAAATTCATTTGACATCAATTTCATTTGGCATAAATGTCATTTAACGTAATTCTCATTTGACATAAATATCATTAGACATAAAATTAGCTTGACATAAATTTCATTTGACGTGAATATCATTTAACATAATTATTATTTAACGTAAAATTAAATTTATATAAATTTCATTTATCATAAATTCCATTTAACATAGTTCTCATTTGGCATAAAATTTACTTGACATAAATTTTATTTGGTATAAATCCCATTTAACATAATTTTTATTTGACATAAAGTTCACTTGATATAAATTTCAATTGACGGATAACTCATTACACATAATTCTCATTTGACATAAAATTCAGTTGTCATAGATTTTATTTTACATACAGATCATTTGACATGGAAATATAGGCGCGAATTTCAAAATTGTCGAATCACAATGTTGTTGATAATATCTAATTAGTTACTTTTAAAATTCGCGCCGATATTGTTATGTAAAATGTAATTTGTGTAAAATGATTTTTATGTCAAATGAGAATTTTGTTGAATGACTTTTATGACAAATGAGAATTGTGTTAAATGTCTTTTATGTCAAATGAACTTTATGTCAAATGAAAATTATGTTAAATGGGATTTATACCAAATGAAATTTATGTCTAGTAAATTTTATGCTAAATGAGAATTATGTCAAATGGAATTTATGCTAAATGAAATTTATATAAATTTAATTTTACGTTAAATAATAATTATGTTAAATGATATTCACGTCAAATGAAGTTTATGTCAAGCTAATTTTATGTCTAATGATATTTATGTCAAATGAGAATTACGTTAAATGACATTTATGCCAAATGAAATTGATGTCAAATGAATTTTATAACAAATAAAATTTACGTTAAATGAATTTTATGTCAAAAGAAATTTATGTTAAATGATTTTTATGTCAATAGAAATTTATGTTACATAATTTTTATGTCAAATGGGAATTAAGTTATCTGAGTTTTTTGTTACATAATATTTCTGTTTAATGAATTCTATGACAAATGATATTTATGTTAAATGGTTTTTGTGTACAATGAAATTTAAGTCAAATAATGTGCATATTATGTGAATTTTAAGTTAAGTAGTTTTATATCAAATAACTATTTGGTAAAAAAAGATTTCGGGAATAAGCATGCGTCTCTGTTTTTCCCTCACTTCTCCCTCATTTAAAAGAAAGAATTTTTACTCATTTCCTGATCCCACAATGAAAAATCTTCAAAGAATTCAATATTATTAAAAAATAAGCTAATTTATTGAATTAAAAATTTAATTTAGAATTTTCAAAATGTCTAGAGTTAGATAAAAAAACTTAATACAAAATTTATAACTTCAATTGCAAAAATAAAATTGAAAAATTCAATTATTTTCGAAATGTTCAATGAAAATTCTTTAAAAAGTTAAAATTTTTTAATAAAATTCAACTATTTTTAATAAAACTTTAAGAAAATTTCAATTATTTAAAAATTTCTCAATTCTTTATTCCAAAAATTTGATTAACTTAAAAGAATCGAAATTCAATTTGAAAAAATTAAATTTTTAAAGGTTTCAGATGAAATTCTTAGAAATTTCAAATTTTTTTAATTTTCTCAATTCATTATTCCAAAAATTTGATTATCTTCAAAGCATCAAAGTTTAATTAGAAAAAATTACATTTTTAAAAATTCCAAATGATATTTCAATTATTTCAAAATTTCTCATTTAGTAGTTTTCAAAAATTTAATTATTTTAAAGTAATAGATTTAAAAATTTTAAAGAACTTAAAAAAACTAAATTTGTTCGGTCTATTAATTTATTAATTGCAGTTCTGCAAAATTTAAAATATCTGAAAATTTCTCAATTAATAATTTTGAAAAACTTAATTATCTTAAACAAAATTTTAAGTTCTGTAGAGTAAAATAATTTTTTCGGAGTTTTAAATAAAATTCTTCAAAATTCTAATTAGCTTGAAATGTATCTGTTAATTATTTTTAAATATTTATGTTTAAATAATTAATAGAAGTTAAAATTTTAAAAACATATTTTTTTTTAACTTCAAAGTAAATTCTTTAAAATTTTAAAAATTTTCAATAATTTAATTATTTAAAATAAATGAATCTCAAATTAAAAAAACTAATTTTTAGATAATTTTAAATCTGAAATTTTCATTATCTTAAAAGATTAGAATAAGTTAAATTTTTATAGAATATAATGAACTTATTCCAAATTATATTTATTTGCGAATTTCTTAATTAATTATTCTCAAAAATTTAATTACCTTAAAAGAATAGAAGTTGAATTTTAAAAATATCTAATTTTTTTAATATGTCAAAAACATTTTTTCAAAATTTTAATTTGATACATATATTTTTGAATTTATTATTCTCAAAAATTTAATTATCTTAAAAGAATAGATTTAATATTTTAAAGCAATTAATTTTTTCTGCATTTTAATTCAAGTTCTTCAAAATTTTAATTATTTGAAAATATTTCTCAATTAATAATTTTGAAAAATTTAATTTTTAGAAATAAGTTAAATCTAGAAGAAAGAAAAGAAAATTGCTAGAAATAGATTAACATTTTTAAAACCTAACTTTGTACAAAATTTTTAATGAAGTTATTCGAAATTTCAGTTATTTAAAAATCTTTTAATTAATTTTTTTAAACAACTAATTATCTTAAACAATAGATCAAAAATTAAATAAAATTTAATTTTTGTATAGTATTTATAATGAAGTTATTTGAAATTTCAATTATTTAAAAATCTTTTAATCATTTTTTTTACAAAATCACAATAATTTGAAAATTATTACGAATAATAAAAATTTCCAGACGAATTTATGTTTTTTAAGATTTTTAAACGTTGTTGAACTTTGATATCTATTTTTACTTTTCTTGTAATTGAATTTTGGTAGAATGTATATAAATTTTAGATTTTTCCAGTACTTTTGATAAAATTTCCTAACTTTTCCCTCATTTCACTGCCAAATTTCACTTTTCCCTAATTTTACCTAATTTCCCTGACCAGAGACAACTCTATAATTATTTTACTAAAAATGAATAACATAAATAAACAAAATTAAATTAAGGTAATTTAAACCATTATGACGTCACAGTTTGCGAAAAGCATATTTTCTAAAGCTGTGACGTCATAATGGTTCAAATTCCCTTAAGAAAATAAATAAAAAAAAAATAAATAGAATTAATACAAAAATAGAAAATAAAGTAAATAAAAATGAAAAGAAGAAAATAAATAAAATAAAGAAAAGAAGTTAAGAAGAATGAGTAGAAACTTACATCTGTCCTAAAATCTCTCAACATCTCAGCAAGGCACTTCTCATGTTCCTCATTGATCTTGGTAACTTTTTCCCTCTGCTGTAAACGAAGTTCAGTCTTTCTATCATCAAATTCTTTGTCGAAATCCTTCCTCAAATTATCCAATTTCTCCGTATGTTGTTTAGTAATTTTTTGTTCCTTTATTTTTGCATTTTTCTCATCATCCAAATATTTTTCATGATCATTCTCAAGTTTCTCCATTTCTTTATTTCTCAATTCAAGAAGTTCGTGTTTACGTTGATCGAGTTCAATTTTTAAATTTGTCAATATCTCCTGTCTCTCCTTCTCATAGCAAACTTCCAATTCATTTTTCACTTTCTTAAGATTTTCATTTCTCGCCTCATCCATTTTCGAAACTAATTTCTCAATTTCCTGCTCCTCCTTCATTTCCAATTCACTACGTAATTTCGATAATTTCTCCTCCTGATTTTTTTCCAGTAAAAATTTTTCCCTATGAAAATTCACCTCCAAGTCTTTTTTGAAAATTTCCAATTTCTCCTGATATTCAATTTTTAATTGATGAATTGTCTCCTCATGTTCTTGTGATAAAATTTTTGTTCTTGTTTCATCATTGTGATGATGAGAAGTTGTTGGTGCTTCTTGTTTTTGTTTTAAAAAATAGTCTTCATTTTTTTCTCTTTCGTTCTTTAATGTTTGATCTGACAATCTCATACTTTCAAGCATGAGTTCTTTACTTTTGCGTATTTCATCGAGGAGACTCGATTTCGACGCGGCACTCGAGTCGGTTTCACTTTTTGAGATGAGATCAATATTTCGGACATTGCTGAAACGCCGCGGTGAATAGTCATCGTCAATTTCTGTATTTAATCGTTCGCGTGATATTTGATTGAGATGCTCATTCTCCGAGACATTCTCAACGACAAAACGTTTACCGACAATTGTGGATTTTTTCAAAAATTTATCCAAGGGATTTAATTTCGCTGGTGTTGGATTAAAGAATAAATCCCGGGAATTTTGATTTGTTGTTGTTGTTGATGATTCATCGAGGGGTTCTAAATTTTGACTTTGAAGGGAAAATATTGAGGCGCCTTTTTTGATATTTGCAATTGCTGACGATATCTTGACATTTTGCTCATCAGATTCTGATTCCCAATCTTCGTCCGAGTCCGAGTAGGTGAATTTAATGTCCGGCTCCTTCTCCAAATCGAAGCGAACACTCTTCCGTTCCTCTTCCATCGGTCGATCATCTGAAGATAAAAAAGAAAAAAGGTCAAAAAAAAAAATAAATAATACGGAATAAGTTACTAATAATTACTGTTAATAACATTAATATTAATAAATTAACAACTAGCAAATGTTACAAGCTTTTTTTATTTTCAAATATCAACTTTAGTTTCTGATCGATTTCAAATTCAACAATGAAAAGAATTCACTTATTAACTAATGATTTTTATTACTTATTATTTTTTTTAAATATGAATAAATTTCTTTCAAACAAAATTACTTTTCAAAATTTTATTAAAATTTTTCCCAACAATTCAGTTATTTCCATAAAATTCTTTTACAGGAATTAAAGTACCTATTTTTAATAAAATTTTAATAAAGTTTTTCGAAAGGATTCAATTATTTTTATAAATTTTAATACGTTTTTTCTAAAGAATTCAATTATTTATAATAATGTTAATAAAATATTAAAAACTAATTGAATTCTTTTGACAAATTTTTTTTAATGTTGTGTTGAAAATAATTGAATTCTTGTGAAGAATTTTATTATTTGTATTGAAAATAATTCAATTCTTGCGGAGAATTTTAGAATACACAAAAAAATTCTTGAGAAAAAAAAAAATTCTTGAGAAAAAATTTAATAGAATTATATTGAAAATAATTGAATTCTCACGAAGAATTCACGAATTGAATTATTTTCATAAATAATGAAATTCTTTGCAAGAATTCAATTATTTTCACAAATCAAAAAAATCCTATCCAAGAATTCAATTATTTTGATAAATCCTAATAAAATTATTCGTAAAAAATTCATTACTACCTATCATAAATAATAAAATTCAATTATTTTCACAAATCAAAAAAAAAATCCTTTCCAAGAATTCAATTATTTTCATAAGTAAAACAAATCATAAAAATAAAGTAAATGAAAATCCTTTCCATGATTTCAATTATTTTCATAAGAAAAGAAAACCTTTTCAAAAATTCAATTGTTTTCACAAATAAAAAAAATCCTTTTCAAAAATTAAATTATTTTCATATAAATAAAAAAATTATTCGCAAGAATTCAATTATATCAATACAATTGTAACTAAATTTCTAGAAAGAATTCCATTATTTTTTCAATTTTTTATAAAACTTGTCGAAAAATTTCAATTATTTTCAAAAATTTTGATACAGTTGTTCATAAGAATTCAATTGTTTGCAATACAATTTTAATTAAGTTTCTCGAAAGAATTTTAATTTCCTTCGAAACAATTAAATTATTAATATATATGTATATAAGAAGTTATAATATTAAATTTCAATTATATTAGTTATAATATTAAATTAAATTATTTTCAAGAAATATAGTAAAATTTTTGAAAGAATTTAATTTTATTCATAATTAAAAAAAAATATCTTTGGAGGAATTCAATTATTTTCAATTCAATTTCAATAACATTCTTTGGTGGAATTCAATTATCTTTAAAAATATTAATAAAATTCCTTGGAAGAATTCAATAATTATTTTTAATGCAATTTTAATTAAATTCCTCGAAAGACTTTAGATTTTCTTCGAAACAATTAAATTTGTATGTTTAGAAATTTTATTATGTTTTTTTCATTATTTTTTAAAATAATGAAATGACTCGACAGAATTCATTTATTTTCAATACAAGTTTAATCAAATTTTTTAATAGAATTCAATTATTTTCAAAAATTTTCGACAAAATTAATTGCAATTTTTTTATATCTAATAAAATTCTAGAAAGAAATTCAATTCTTTTCAAAAATTTTAATAAAATTTTTCATAAAAATTAAATTATTTTCAATATAATTTTAACCGAATTCCTCGAAAGAATTTTTTTTTCTTCGAAACAGTTAAATTAGTTTCAAAACTTTTTAAAAAAATTCTTAGAAGAATTTAATTATTATCACAAATAATAAAATTATTCGGGAAAATATAATTATTTTAAAAAATTTTAATAAAATTCCTTAATAGAATTTTTTCTTTATAAATGTTAATACAATTTTAACTAAATTTCTAGAAAGAATTTTAATTTTCTTCGAAACAATTGACTGTATTTTTACAAATTTTATTATTTTCATAAATAATAAAGTATGGATTTTAAAAATTTTCCAAATTTTTTAATTTTATAAAATAAAATTCCCAAAAAATTAAAAAAAAAGTTGTCGAGAGATGGTATAATTTTATTTTAAATTCGTTATTTTTAGATGCACTGTATTATTAAATTGAATTTTATTGATATCCAATCGAGGAAACTAAATAAAAGTTTCTTTTGTGGCAAGAAAATTTTTTTTTTATCAATTTTCGACTTTTGACAATTTTTTGATATCAAATCATCAGAAAATTGGATATTTTTATCTGCTTATGAGAAGGGATTAATGAAATTTGAACCCATTAAATATTCCTATATTGTTTAGGGGTGATTCTAACGCATTATATTCAGGATATAAAATTATGCGACATCAGGAAAATTGAGATTGAAAAATTTATTACTAAATAAATATTTAAGAAATGGTAAATTTTTGAAAAAAAATAAAGTTGAACATTGACGCACAATAATTTTTTTCTGGCTTCTTTTCGTGCCTTTGAGCAACCAATCCATGTGGATTTTGAAAAGTTTATATTTTTCTCGTTTTCAAAAAGATAATAAAATTTCAAGTCTAATTTTATGAAAATTATTATTCGAATTTAGACAAAGCTTTTGATTTCAAATGATCAAAAAGTATTCAGTTAAGTATTAAAACTTTGAAAATAAATCGAAAAATGTCGGATTTTTAAAAAACAAAATTTCAGGAATGTTGTTTAATTCGAGGCCCGTTACGCGGAAAAATATTCTCGATTCCAAAGGATGTAAAAAAATTATGTCCCTTCAAAACGTAAATTTTTATTAGTTGAACTTTTACTGTCGTTTCATTTAAAATTCAACTTCTTTCACAATTTTTATTATTATTTCCATCTACAATTTTTTTTACTGTGTCTTTTTTATGTTTTCGAATAATCAATAGCACAGATTTTTCAAAATCCGCATAATTTAAAAATTATAAAATCAGCAAAAATAATCTTTTTGAATAATTTTTTGCTTAAATTGAATAAATTAAATTAAAAGCTGTCAGAGAAAAATTGTCGATTAGCAATTTGATGGTTTAAATTTCCAATTCCTTCCTTTAAATAACAAAAAAAAATTTTAATGAAAATTAAGGGATCACAGTATTTTTTAAAGCAATATTAGATAAAAAAAGGGGATTTTTGTTTCAAAACATTTTTAAATCAATTTTAAAAAAGAAAATTTTGGAAGAAATCCATTCATCTATTTTATTCAATTAAGAAAAAACTACTGTATTATATAGCATTATACATCAGATTAGAGTGAAGATGTAAAATTTGTTTTTTGGATTTTTTAATTTAAGTAAAGATGTAAAAGGTTGTTTTTGTTGAGAATCCACATTTATTTTCAATTTAAAATTGACATACTTTAGAATACATCAGATTATTTCTAAAAAAAACTTTTACATTTTCTTTTAATTACATTCAACTTTTTAAAAAAATTTTCTGTTTATTATTAATAGTTTTTGTTTTATCCTTTTCGTTATTCTGCAGACTTTATGACGTTTGTATTAAATTTTTTATTACAACACTACTTTTGTTTTAAAATTTAATGAATTTTTCCAAACAAAGCTCGAATTGTTTTTCCAATTTTTATTTTTTAATTATTACTTTGTCGAAAAAATGTATAAAAATTAAAATCTCAAAATTGAGAACAATGTAAATCAAGTGTATTTCCATGCCGTCAGCGTATAATAAATAGTTTAACAGTTTCAAAATTAAAACATAACTTTTGCAAAATTAAATCAATGTTTTCTTTTATAAAATTGAAAATTATGATCAAAGTGAAACAATTCTATTAAAATCGTTTCATTTATAATGTAGTTCAACAAAGTTTATAATCAGTAATAATTAATAGAAGGAAAATAAATACTTTTTTAGACCAATTTTTAAAAATATTTTCGTTTAGAAAATTTATAACAATTTTTTTCAGATCAACTATTTTAAATAGAAAATTTTGTACACATATTTGTTTGTAATTTCTATTGTTTCTATTGTTTTCTGTTTGAAAAATACATTTTCTTCTTCAATCAAAAAACTAATTATAAAAAGTTTTTATAATATTCAACGAACTGAAACTGCATCTGAATTTCAAAAAAGGAAAATGTTTTCTTTAATATTTCCAAATACATGTTATTTGATTAAAATAAATATTTTATTTATGTCGAAAAAAATAATTATTTAAAACAAAATAATAATGTAGTTGGCTTCGAGACAAATATACTTTTATTTAACTTAAATAAATTGTATTTTATTTCAATAAACTTGGCTTTTCTTTGAGTGTTTTTGATATAAATAAAAATTATTTGATTCAAGTAAATATTTATTTGATAATAAATAGCTAACGTTTTATTTGAATCAAATAAATTTTTTCTGGTGTAGAAATAAACATTTTTCAAATTTACATAAAAGTGACAATTTTTGTAGGATTTTTTTCTTTTGAAACAGGAGAAAAGAGGAGGAAATACATCACTTTGGGTGTTAAGGGGATAAAAAAGTTTTTTAAAATAACTGTGACCCCTGAAAGTAGTTTTAAAACTTTTTCAAGTATTTCCTTTAGTAAAATTTAAAAACCTCTTGCGCCATTATACACTAAAAAAATTTATTTAATTTAAATGACTGATTTCTTGTCCATTATCAAATAAATATTTACTTGAATCAAATAATTTTTATTTTAATGAAATTTACTTGAACCAATTATTTCTTGTAATTGAATCAAATACCATTTAATTTACTTAAGTAGAAATTATTTCACGCAAATAAGTAATTTTTTGATACAAATACAGTTTTTTTCAGTGTATAAACAAAGGGGAAAAATATCTTTAAATATTCTAAGTATTTAGGTTTTTCTAAATTGATAATTATAAAGCAAATACTATTTATTTGACCTAATATTAAATTTATTTGATGCAGATAAACATTTTTTTGATACTAATAACTACTGTTAATAATTACTATTTATTTTTTTTAATAATAATAAAATTCTTTGAAAAAATTCAATTATTTTCAAAAATTTTAATATAATTTTTCACAAGATTTCAATTATTTCCATAAATAATAAAATACTTTGCAAAAATTTAATAATTTTCATTAATATTAATAACACTTTTTAAAGAAATTCAATTATTTTCAAAATTTACATTTTTAATTATTTATTTATTTATTTATGTGTTTTATTTTAATAAAATTTTTTGATAGAATTCAATTAAATAAAAAATTTTTAATGAAATTTCTAGAAAGAATTCTGTTTGTTTAAAAAATTTTGATAAAATCCTTTGAAATTCTTTAAAATTTCTTTAAAAAATATATTTTTCAAAAGAATTAAATTATTTCTATTACTATATCATAAATAATGAAATTCTTTGCAGGAATTCGATTATTTTCACAAATAAAAAATATCCTTTCCAAGAATTTAATTTTTTTGTAAATAATAAAATACTTGGAAAAATTCAATTATTTTTATAAACCATAAAATTCCTCGAAATAATTCCATTACTATCATAAATAATAAAATTCTTTGCAAGAATTCAACTATTTTCACAAATAAAAAAACCTTTCCATTAATTCAATTATTTTCATATGTAAAAAAATCCTTCCTAAGAATTTAATTATTTTAATAAATAATAAAATTGTTGTCAAAAATTCCATAAATAATAAAATCCTTTTCATAAATTCAATTATTTTCACAAATAAAAAAAAACTTTCCGAGAATTCAATTATTTTGACAAATCAAAAAAATTCTTTTCTAAGAATTAAATTATTTTCAAAAAATTTAATAAAATTCTTGGAAGAATTCAATTTTATTCATAAGTAAAAAAAAATATCTTTGGAGAAATTCAATTATTTTTAATAGGTACAATTTCAAAGACATTTCTTGGTGGAATTTAATTATTTTTAAAAATATCAATAAAATTTCTTGAAAGAATTCAAAAATTTTGATAAAACTCCTGATTTAGATTTTCTTTGAATTTTTATTTTTTATTTGTAAAAATTTTATTATTTTTTTTATTATCTTTTAAAATAATGAAATGATTCGACAGAATTCATTTATTTTCAATGCAAGTTTAATCAAATTTTTTTAAAAAATCATAATAAAATTCTTCATAAATATTCAATTATTTTCATTATCACTTTTACTGAATTAACCGCAAGAATTATTTATTTTTTATTATAAATTTATTTTTATAAGTAAAATTGCATGAATCCAATTATTTTCCTAAATAATAAAGTTCTTTGCAGGAATTCTATTATTTTTATAAATAATAAAGTTCTTTAAAAAAATTCAATTATTTTAATAAACAATAAAATTTTATAAAATTCTTCGAAAGAATTGAAATTTTTTTTTATATAATTTTTTTGAAACGAATAAATATCTTTTTGATATAAATATTTGTCCGACGCAAATAAATACTTGTCTGACACAAATAAAGATTTATTTGACAACAGACAAGTAATTGTTTATTTGAATCAAATAAATTATTTTCTAGCTTATAACATTGCCTTAAATCCAAATTTTTAATACTGGAATAAATTGTTTTGCAAATGGATCAGAATTCGGGAAATTTTCTCAAAAAATAAAAAGTATTTTTTTTAAATCGAAATATTGAAAAAACATTTCTATTTGGCCTTAGGAATGTGTCGACCAAAAAACAGAAAAAAAAAATTTTTTTTTTAATAAAATTTATTGCAAAATGAATTTTTTTTTGCAACTTTTTAAACAAAAATTTATTTCTCCCAAATGAATGAACCGATTTAAATGAACCAAGTGGGAATATAAAGGGGATAAAATATACTTTCGTTTAGAATTAGAAAATTTTTAAAAAGTTTATTTTTTAATAATTATTTAATAAATTTTCTATAAACATTTTATTTTTTTTAATGTTCTGCGACTTTTAAAAATTTGAAAAAAATCTCAACATACAATTAAAACTATAAGGAATCAAAATCCGTTAAGAAAATTTAAGAGCGACAATTATTTTTGCAACATTTCGATTTAAAAAAAAATACTTTTTATTTTTTGTGAAAATTTTACGAATTCTGACCCAAATTCTTAAAATTTGCTATCACAAAATAGAAACTGAATAGAAAATGAAAAAGAAAATTCAACTAAAAATATAATATTCAATGTACTCACCATCCTCGTAAGCCTTTTCCCTTAGAATCGATTTAAGTCGATCACCCGAAGAGCTACTCATTCCAAGATCAGCCGACAGTTGAAAATCTTCAAACTTCCCACCGTCTTGACTTGGAGTTGTGTCACGACTTCGGTTACTTTTCAGAAATATGGATCCACCACCAGTCAATGTCAATTCCTTTTGTCTCGGATGTTTCTCTTTATCGCACGATTCACTTGATTTCTCAACTTTAGCTAAAGAACTGGCACTCAAACGATCAATATCAATGATATTCTCATCGGAATTAAATTTACTATTAAGATGTTCCCACTCCTTTTCATAACGTGGACTTAACGATTCCGAACGTTTTAATACTTCCTTTAAATCCAAATTACTTTTATTATTATTATTATTACTACTACTACTGTTCATTGTTGTTGTTGTTGTTGCTCCAGCATCCAATAATTTTGGAGTCTCATAAAACATTGGATCTTGAAATTTTAAATTTCTATAATCTCTCGACGCACGATCCGAGACAATTATCGATGATTCACTATGAATATCTTTCTCATAATTTTTTGTCGTTATTTTTTCCAATGAAGACTCACGTCTTCTTGATGTTAATTTATCGCTGCTCTTTATTCTTTTTAATGGCGCCAACTTCATGGGAATTTTTGTCTGTGACATTATTACTGTTTTACTCGTGGTGCTATCCTTTGGTAATGTTGCGTCTTCCTGTGATTCGAGATCCTTGGCGGTCGTCTTAGAGTCTTCGTCTGCGAAAAAGCCTTTCTTACGAACAATCTACCATTTGTTTGTTTGTTTATTTTATTTGTTTTTTACTTTTTTATTTTGTTTATTTTGTTTATTTTTTGCTTATTTTTTTTTTGTTGATTCCTTAAGGGGAATGGATGTTCAAAAAAGAGGGGAGAGTTTCTCGCAGGTGGTTTTTTTTGGTTAAAAGACATCACTCCGATATTTTCGAAAAAACACACTTTTATAGTATAAATTAGTTGTTATAGGAAATAAAAACAAAGGGACAAGATTATATTAATTGACACTATCATCGATACCATGCAATTTGACTTTAAGAGTCATTTATACAGAGTTTAATTGAAATTTAACATTGCAATATATTTTCTCTTGTAATATATATATGAAAACTGGAAATATATATTTGAATAATCAACGTTTGGCTATAATTTGTTATAATACGATATAACAATAAATATTGTAAAGCAAAGATTCGAATCTTTGCATGAGACACTTTTTTTTAACGCTGTTAATGATACAACGTGTACAATTGCATTGAGCAAGAAAATCTCGACGGATAATTAGACGGTTCCATATAGTTGATTATATAGACGTCGTCGATAAATAAGTGCTTCGTAGAGGACATTTAAATTGATGCGCATCAAAGAACTTTGAATTATATCAATTCGACTATATTATATATGATTTTTCTTCTTTTTTTCTTCTCCAAACGTAATTTTAATTTAAGGAAAATTCTGCCAACATATCAGAATTTTGATAACAAAAAAAAAAGAGTTTTCAGAAAATTCATTTTTTTAATAAATTCAAAATGAATGAAATCGAAAAACTTTTACTGAAAAAATTCATCATTTTTTCAGAAAAATGAATTTGCGTTAATTCGAAAATCTGAGGAGGAGAAATGAAGATCGTAAATGAGGGAAAAATAGAGGGGGGGGGGGAATAAAAAATAGGGGAAAATTGATATCGATAGAAAGGAGGAAAAGAGAAAAATAGAGAGAAAAAGAGAAAAAGAAAAAAAAAAGTTGAAGGGAAATTAAACAATCGTACCGACGCTCATTTGTCGGTTACCGGCCCTCGCTTGAGCAACGAGTTCCTTGTAAACCGCGTCCAGGGGATGTTCCCAGGTGGTGTTCCCCGTCGACGCTTGATAGTAATACCAGGCACCGGAGGCTTCATGAAAACAGGGTGACCAGCCCTTTGGTAGCGCCGCCATCAGACCTTCACGAGCTAAGTCCAAGAGGTGTGGTTCCGCATCCGGGTCGATTCCCAGACGCTTTGCGTACTCTATTACTTCTACAACACGCAATTGCAGAAAATACCATTATAATTCATTATACTTTAAAAGAATTATAAAAAAAAAAAAAAAAAAATTAACGCCATTCTCTCTCGTGACCATCAAAATTTAAATTCAAATACAAAAGATTTCCACATTCTTTACATTCCACTGAATTAAATGAAAATAATAAATTAAAAATGAAGACAATAGTAGAAATTAAAAAAAATTTACGAGTACCATTTTTATGAAAAGGGCTTGACCCATTTACTTTTGTAAATAGATATAATAATAAAATAAAAATTATAACATAAAATAACAACAAAAAGTAGCTATTTTACCAGCAAAAATTGAATAAACAAAAGAAGAATAAAAAATAAGTAAATAAATAAAAATAAATAAAAAATTAGAAAAAATAAAAATTAAGTAAAAAATTAAATAAAAAATTAAAAATAGAAGAAAAATAGTAAATAGAATAAATTATTAAATTTCTAATTTAAAAAAACAATCAAAATTTCTATATATTCAGCAATATTTTAATAATAAAAATAATAATAAAATAATAATGGTGAAATTAATAGAAATATTATTATAGAAATAATGCTAACAGGGCTCGAACCACTGAAAGCATTTAAAAATACGGACTTTACCGAACAAAAATGAAAAATTACGGACCAATTACTGACAAAAATATAACCAGTCCGAGTCAAATAAAAGAACATTTTACTTGAAACTATAAATTAAATTTTTCATAACTATAAAACATGAAGAAATCGATCGAGTTATCGATTTCTTCATGTTTTATAATAATTAAAGATGGCCGAGTTATAAAATTATTATCAATTCAATTATTATTATTAACTAAAATTCTTCTTTAAAACGACAAGTTTTTATAATTTTCAAAAAGTTTTTTGACAATTTTCAAATCCATTTGTTTACAATATTCAATTTTACAAAATTGCAATTATTCGAAAATTCTTCAATTAAATATATATATTAGAAAACAAAAACTTCAAATAATTTCCAAAAAAAATCCACAATTAAACTTTCTCAAAAAAATGAATTCCACAGAATTGTTAGTTAAAAATACGAAAAATTCAGATTTTTAAGGATTTTAATTACTTTTAACAATCAATAATTGTCTGAAATTTTAACTGAAATTCATTTTTAAATTATTATTATTATTATTTATAAATTATATCAACACATTTTTAAATCATTGAATTTTTTCGACGAATTTAAATAAAATTTTTAAAAATAATTACATTTTACGAGAAATTCGATTAAAATTACATTATAAAAATAATTAAAATTCTGTAATGAGTTTTATTATTTGTAAAAATAATTGAATCCCTATAAGAAGAATTTTATTATTTTTCAACAATATTTAATTTTTGCGATGAAAATTATTACCCTTGAAAATAATTTGATTTCTGCAATAATTTGTAACTTCTCCAAAATTGGATTTTTTTTCGTGTTTTTTCCACTAAAATTCTTCTATAAATGCATTATTTTAAATAATTTTTGAAAAAGTTCTTTGAAAATTCAGATTTTCAAAGATTTTAATTAAAAACCTTTTATTAAAAATTCAATTATTTCTAAAAATTCACTCTGTAATGCTTTTAATATTCAATTATTATCTAAAATTTTAACTGAAATTCATTTTTAAATCAATTTTTATTAGAAAATTCAACTGGAATTCAATTATTTAAATACAAAAATACATAATTTATTGAATAATTGCGTGTGTCTTAAAACTAAATTCTCATAAAGAATGTTATCAATAAATTTTTAAATCATTGAATTCTTTTGACGAATTTTAATAAAATTTTTAAGAATAATTAAATTTTTCGAGAAATTTCATTAGAATTATATTAAAAATAATTGAAATTCTGTAATGAGTTTTATTATATACGAAAATAATTGAATGAATGTGAAAAAATGTATAAAAAATTTGTAAATAATTGAATTCCTGTGAAATTTTTATTATTTTATTAAAATAATTAAAGGTTTGCATAGAATTTTATTCAACTTTTTTTTAATAATTGAATTATATTGGAAAATTTTATTAAAATAATAGATATTAAAAATCATTGAATTGAGGAAAATTTTAGAAAATAATTGAAATTTTACAAGAATTTTATTAAATTTTTTGATCATAATATTGAATTTCTGCAATCATTTCTAATTTCTCTAAAATTCTCCAAATTATGTCGTACAATTTACAAACTTTTCATCTTTTCTAAATCAAATTACGGACTTTATGGACCTTTTTTCGAAAAAACTGACTTTTACCGACTAGAAGCAAATTTACGGACCTTTACGGGATTTACGGATCTAGTTCGAGCCCTGTACTAGTAAAAATTATTCAAATACAAATTAATAATACTAGTAAGAATAATACTAATACTATTAAAATCTGAATTAGTAGTTTTCTACTAATGAAATAGTGCAGATTCGTTTACTAATTGAATTAGTAACAATTTTTACTAATTTTTAGTGGCTTTTACTAGATGCTAGTAGAAAACTACTAATTCATTAGTAAGCCGGCTTACTAATTTGAAATAGTAAATAATAAGACTTACCAATTGAATTAGTAGTTTTCGACTAGCAAATAGTCAAAAACTACTAAAAATTAGTCAATACTGTTACTAATTCAAATATGTAAACGAATCCGCTCTATTTCATCAGTAGAAAATTACTAATTCAGATTTAGAGAGTACTAATAATAAAATAACAATAGTAAAAATAATACTAAAACTATTCTAAATAATAGCAGTAAAAAAAAGCAAAAAAAAAGTCAGGAAAATTCTACAGAATTTTACAAGAATAATTGTATAGATTCATTTTACAAAAACTTTTGTGAATAATCTGTAGAATATCACTAGAATAGTTCTATAGAATTTCTAGATGAATTTTAATATATATTTTGCAATAAAAGAAAGATGTAATTAATTTCAGATACAAATCAGAAAATAGAACATAAAATATAAACAAATAAAAAAATAAATAAAAGTTGAGATAAATATAAGTAAAAGTACATTATTTATAATTAATAGTATAATAGTATTGATATTATTGAAAGTACATTGTAAAGAGGTATGTTAAAATTTAATTCCAAATAATTAAAGTCAGTCTTTACAGGAATCAACTAAAAATTTTGCTAATATAATAAAATTTTTATAGCTGTTCCAGATAAAGCTTTTATTCCATGCATAAAAAAATAATAACCAAATAAATATTAATAACTAAAAATAATAATTATTATACAAATAATAAATATATTACAATAATTAATTTTCCTCTCACTTTTCTGACCGAAGAACTCATAAATATATAATTGAAACTAGAGTAAAAGTCTTAAAAAAAAGCAATGGAAATGCATCAGACAACTATATAAAAGATACAAGTGTATATAATTAAATTGTTTACGATCAATTAAATCAGACTGAATGAAAACATTTTTTCCCTTTAGAGAAACGTAATAGAAAAAGAAAAAAAAAATCTGAGAAAAATATGAAAACGTTCAGGTTTGATTTAAGGAAAAGAAATTCAAGGTAAAAGAAGATTATATAATTTGCACAGAATCCTCTTATATACATCATAAATATAAGAGGAATTATCATTTCCAAGAAAATAAATATAGTTTGTTGCAGAGTATATATACTTTTTGTTACACAGTATAATAACGTTTAATTAATTTTTCGTATATATATATTTAAAGATTTTCCTTTCTAGCGATTGAAAAACAAGGAGATGAAAAATATTGTGCTACGTGATTGTAAATTTTTCGAAGTAAATACATTTTTAAGGAGATTTTTTCAAAATTAATTTTCCATTAACATCTCCAATTAATATTTTTAATTAATATTTTCAACTATGATTTTTAATGAATATTTTCAACTACGACTTTTAATTAATATTTTCAACTAGGACTTGTAATTAATATTCTCAACTGACATTCACAGTTAACATTTTCAATGAATATTTTCGATTGACATTTACAAATTAATTAATAAATTAAAGATAAATAATTAATTATGACAATAATTACATAATTAATTAGCTAATGACAGTCATGTAATCATTAAATAATAATCGTGGTATTAATCAAACGTTTTAATTTTAAATAATAAATAAATTTAAACATTAACAAGTTACTATTTTCAATTAACACTCTCGATTGACATTTTTAAATGAACTATTAAATTAAGAATAATTAATTGCAACAATAATTATAAAATTAATTAATTAGTTAACAATCATTTTTTTAATTATTAAATAACAATCTTTATATTATTCAACTAATTTCATAATAAATGATAATTAAATTTCAATATTTACAAGTTAACACTTTTTATTAACATTTGCAATTAATAGTCTTAATTAACATTTCCAATTAACATTTTCGACTGATATTTTAAAATTATTTAATAAATTTGTAATAATTAATTGTAACAATAATTAAATAATTAATTAGTTACCAATAATTCTTTAATTATTAAATAATAATTGTGCCATTATTCAATAATTTTTATAATAAATAATAAATAAATTTCAGCATTAACAATTTAACATTTTCGATTGACATTTTTAAATTAATTAGTTGACAATAATTTTGTAATTATTAAATAATAATAAAATAATAATAAAATAATAATAAAATAATAATAAATAAATAATAAATTAATTTTATTATTTAAAATTAAAATTAAATTTTCCAATTATTAAATTATAATATTGGTATTCAATAATTGTTTAATAAATACTAAATAAATAAAATATTTTTTTAATCACAATAATAGTTGTAAAATTATTATCAAAAATATCAAACAATTATAAATTCGTCTACAATAAATAAAAAATAAACAAAAATAATAACAAATCAATTTAAAAAATGAAAAATACTTAGAAAATATTAATTATCAGCTTCTACTTTACATATTCTTTACAATTGCTGCTCTTGACCTTCTTTCAAAATGAAGTAATTCTACAAAAAATGGTTTCCAGGTAGAACATG